TTTAATTTTATTTTTATTTCCCCTTTTGCTGCAGTACGGGGCTCGCCTCGAAGACATAATTAATCAAATGTGAGTTTGCGGCTTCCGAAGCGGCGCTTCGCCGTGCCTCCTGAGGTGTACGTACACCCCAACGCCCTGCAGCATCAGCGCGCACGCAGCAGTGCCGGATTTGCTGCGGACGAAAGCGCGGCAGTCGCAGGCGGCCGGGGGGGGCCAGCCTGCTGCTGCTGCTGCTGCTGCTGCTGCTGCTGCTCCAGCAGCAGCAGCAGCAGCAGCAGGCGCTGTGTAGCTGCTGCGCAGGGCCTGCGCGGGCGAGCAGCCGCGACGGCTCCGCGCATGCACACGGGGCGTCCCGTGCGGCTTCGCAGCTAAAGTTTGGACTAAACAGAACATTTTGAAAAGTTAAAACATTTAATTTAAAATTGAATTATTATTTTCTCAGTTTGAAGCCAAGAGGCCAGCAGCCCCCGGCCCGCCGTGCGGCTGCGCGGCTGCGCGCAGCGCCGGGCCGGCGCCGGGGATGCGGAGTTGCGAATTAATTTTGTGTGCGAAGTTGCAGAATTAGAAAAGAAAAGTGGAATGTGTGGAAGTGGGGGCGTGTGTGGCGCAGCAGCAGCAGCAGCAGCAGCAGCAGCAGCAGCAGCAGCAGCAGCGGCGGCGCTGCACTGGCTCGAGCGCGCGGGCGGCTGCTGCTGCTGCTGCTGCTGCTGCGGTGGGTAGCCCCGAATTGGAATTAAAGGCGAAAGCTGGCAGCAAATTGGATTGGGAGGACTTGCGGGCAGAGGCAGCTGGCGGCGCGGGACGGGGCTGCAGCAGCAGCAGCAGCAGCAGCAGCAGCAGCAGCAGCAACGGCAGCCTCGTGCGGCAGGGCTGGCAAAGGCAGCTCGATCCTTTCCCCCTCAGCAGCAGCCAAAAGGCGCCGCGAAGGGGACTTTGAGGGCCTGCAGTGTCTCAAAGAGGAGGACTAATTAATTAAATAAATTAATTGTTTTAGAGAACTGAAAATGCCGCCGGTAGGTCTTGGGCAGTTGCTGCTCCCCACGCGCTGCAGCGCGAGTGTCTGTACACCGCAAGTGTCTTCCCCGCGCGTGTTAAATTGGGCTTTCCGCTTTTCGCGCTGCAGCAGCAGGCGAAGCTGCTGCTGCTGAGCAGCAGCAAGCCTTGCTGCTGCTGCTGCGTGGCCGCCGCTGCTGCTGCGCGCGCCGCTGTGGGGACACAGCAGCAGCAGCAGCAGCAGCAGCAGCAGCAGCTGCGCTCAGTCCGTACCCTTCTTCCGCCTGCCGCTTTCCGCGTGTCTGCTGCCACAATTCTAGTTTTAATGCGACAGCAGCAGCTGTAGCTGCTGCTGCTGCTGCTGCTGCTGCTGCCTCTGCTCTGGTGTATGCGCAGCTTCCAGCAGATGACGCCAGGCCGAGCCCGGCAGCCCAGGAGCAGGAAAAGGTGCGCCTGCTGCTCCCTCCTCCCCGCTGCCGCTGCTGCCGCTGCTGCTGCTGCTGCTGCTGCTGCTGCTGCTGCTGGCGCGTGCGCAGCAGCTTCTCTGCTCGCTCTCCCGCCGCCGCAGCGCCCGCCGCAGCAGCAGCCGCGCAGCTCCCCTCTTCTCCCGCTCTCCCCCTCCCCGCTGCTGCTGCAGCAAGCCGCAGCGCCGGCGAGCGGCTGCAGCGTGTACGTGGGGAACTTGGCCTGGGGAGTCCGCGCAGCAGAACTGCAGCAGCACATGAGCCAGGCGGGCGAAGTGGTCCGCGCGGACGTCTTCGAGGACTACCAGGGCAGAAGCAAAGGCTGCGGCATTGTCGTCTACAAGACTGAAGAGGCGGCGCAAAGGGCCATCAAGGAACTCACTGACACCGTCCTGCTCGGTCCGCTCCTGCTGCTGCTGCTGCTGCTGCTGCTGCTGCTGCTGCTGCTGCTGGTGCTGCTGGTGCTGGTGGTGGGCGCGGGGATGGGGTGCGTGCGTGTGGTGGGGGCGCGAGGCAGGGAGGGGATGGCTGCTGAGCTGTGCGGACACCCGAGCGCATGTGCTGCTGCTGCTGCTGCTGCTGCTGCTGCTGCTGCTGCTGCTGCAGAACGTCCAATCTTCGTGCGGGAAGACCGCGAGGAAGGCGGCGGCAGCGGCAGCAAGTTTTCGGGGGGCCGCGGGTAAGCCTCTTGCGGTGTACGTACACCGCAGCTGCCGAGTAGCTGCGCAGCGCCGCGCCTCGCCGCTGCTCCCTGCTGCTGCAGCGCCCTGCTGCTGCTGCTGCTGCTGCTGCTGCTGCTGCAGGCGCGGGCGCGGGCGCGGGGGCTTCTCCGGCGGCCGCGGCGGCTACCAGGGCGCGCAGGGCTCTTCTTACCAGGGCGGCGGCCAGGGCAGCCAAGGCAGCTACCAGGGAGGCGGAGGGGGCCGCCAGGTGTTCGTGTCGAACTTGCCGTGGAAGACTTCCTGGCACGAGCTGAAGGACCTTTTCCGGGAGTGCGGCGAAGTGATCAGGTGCGATCCGCGGCTCTTTGGCTTTCTTTTTGCGCCATTTAAATCCAATTTCCCTTTTTTAATTCAGCTTTCTTTTTTTTCCGCGAAATTCCGCAGCTTTCCGCGCTTTCGAGCCGCTTTCCACTCCGCGGCGCGCCCGCGCGCTGCTGCTGCGTGCAAGTTGCACGAAGGCGAAATAAACTGCTGCTAAATGCGACTTTAAATGCCTTTTGTTTGTTTTTTTTTGTTTTAATTCACTGAAGTCTTTTTGTCGAACAAATTCGCTTTTTTCCTTTTTTCGCGCCGCAGCCGTTCGTGCGCAGTGCCTGTTGAGGTGTCTGTACACCTCGTCGTTGAGCTCTGTGCCACTCTTTCGTTTCATTTCATTTGTCTTTTTCGCCTCCTTTTGTCTCTTTTGCCTGTGGCTGTCCCACGTCTCCTCATTTTTTTTGATTTGCGAAGGAAATGAATGCGTTTGGTTGTGTTTATTTTGTGGGGAGTGAGTTTTGTCTTTTCAAAAAGAATTCAAGAGCTGCAGCAGGTGCCAGCTCTTAGGTGTATGTACAGTTGAATGTCCGTCTGCGTGCTGAAGCGCTGCACCGGGCTGTCTGCCGCTGCAGCGCGAGAATCGCTGCTGCTGCTGCTGCAGCTTGAGGTAGTGTGTGCTGCTGCTGCTGCTGCTGCTGCTGCTGCAGCAGCAGCTGCTGCTGCAGCGAGCTAGATATTGTGCGGCTGTGTGTGCAGAGCTGACGTGATGGAAATGCCGGGGGGCCGGTCGAAGGGCGTGGGGACAGTTTTGTTTGCCTCTCGAGAGAGCGCGCAGAACGCCATCGACACTTTCAACAACTACGTGTTGGACGGCCGCCAAATTTCCGTCCGCTTCGACCGCAAAGAAATGTAAAAGTGCCGACTCGGGGGCGCCGGCGAGTGCCGCTGCGGCGCGCCAGCTGTACGTACACCCCAGCTGCCCCTACACCCCAGCTGTAAGTACACCGAGGTGTACGTACACCCGAGGTGTACGTACACCGTAGGAGTACGGACACCGAGGTGTACGTACACCCGAGGTGTACGTACGCCGTAGGTGTACGTACGCCCGAGGTGTACGTACAGCTGAGGTGTGCGTACAGCTGGGGTGTATGTCCAACACCGAGGTGTACGTACAGCTGAGGTGTACGTACACCGGAGTGTACGGACAGCTGGGGTGTGGGTACGCTGGGGGTGTGCGGAGAGCTGGGGTGTACGTACAGCTGGGGGTTGAGGGCGGAGGTGTAGTGGAGCTGGGGTGTACGTACAGCTGGGGTGTGCGCTGGCTCGGCGCTCGCCAGCGGGGTGTACGTACACCGCGCGGAGCGCCGCGGAGCGGGCCTTCGCGCGGAGCTGCTGCGGCGGGAGCAGCAGCAGCAGCAGCAGCAGCAGCAGCAGCGGAGGCAGCAACTGAACAGCAAGATGTGTGTCGAGCCCTGTAGTGAGGCCTAGGCGGCGCTGGCCCGCGCTGCGGGCGCGCAGGGAATATGAGTGCTCTCAGGATATATTTTATTTACTTGTGTGTGTTATTATATTCACATGTTGTGGACTTGTACTCCCGAAGCCCCGAGTCTGCTGTTTGCCCTTGCCCGCTGCGCCCGGCTCTTTGCTGCAGCAGCAGCTCGCCTGCTGCAGCTTCTACTTGTCTTAGACACATGAACTTATTCAACAGACCCTAATTCTCAGAGGGAACCAGCAGCAGCAGCAGCAGCAGCAGCGCCGCGCCTGCTGCTGCTGCAGCAGCAGCGCCGGCAGCCTAGAGCAGCGCCCCAGAGGTGGGTAGAGCCCGCGGGTGCAGCAGCAGCAGCTGCTGCTGCACTTAGCCGCAGCAACGGCAGCGCAAGTAGTAGCAATAGTCGCACTGCCGCGCACCTCGGGCGCGCGAGCAGCAGCAGCAGCAGCAGCAGCAGCAGGAGTAGCAGCAGCAAGGGGGCCAGCGAGGCTTCAGAACAGTTGCAGCAGTTGCTGCTGCGGTGCAAATGAGGCGTTGCGCCGCCAGGGGCCGGCGCCCGGCGGGCGTACACCCCGCCGGGTGTACGTACACCCCAGAATGGCAAATAGAATTCAATTTAGAATTCTATTTGCCGTTCTGGGGTGTACGTACACCCCAGAATGGCAAATAGACTTCAATTTAGAATTTAAACGTCAGCGGCAGCCGCCGCTGCTGCTGCTGAAGTCGAGGACGTGCAGCGAGTCGCGCCCGCGGGGGGGGCTGGCGCGCACCTGGGGAAGCAGCAGCAAAGAGGAACCAAGTGACAAAAAAAGAAACAATAAACACATTTAAGGGACTTTAAAACAAATAAAACTCCTATTTGCTGCTCAAAGCACTTCAAATGCTCGAAAAACTCCAGCCCGCGGGCAGCCGCTGCAGCAGCGCTGAGGTGTACAGACAGCTGCGTCTTGCACTGCTGCTCTCCCTCCCCGAGGCTGACGGCGCTGCAATTGGGGCGTTAAGGGCTCATATTAATAATAATAATGATTAATAATGATAATTACAATTAATAATTGCTTTAATTGTTGTTGAAAGGAATTAATTTCTGTTCAAACGCACCACACAGAAAGCGCGGTTCGCCTGGAGGTCCAAAATGGCTCCGTTGTATTTCGCCGTCATGACGGAGTCGGCGCATTTGCGCAAATCCCACAGCTGGAAAATAAAAGGAAATAAAAAAAAAATAAATTCTTTGCAACATATAAACAAAAATAAATAAATAAAATGAACTGGTTGCAGCACAACGAGCTGCATTTAAAACTCCTAGAAAATGAAAACAAAAGAAATAAATTCAAACACAAACGGAATTACTTGCAGTAAAAAGGTCCGCACTTGGAGCTTCTAAATAATGAAAACAGAAATACGTAAAAAGATGAAACGAAATAAATAAATCAAAAACAAAATAAACCACTTGCAGCAAAATGCAGCAGCAGGAAAAGCCTCATTTGGCAAACAATCAGCAGCAGCAAAAAGTAGAATGCTGCTTCAGCCACGCAGCGCGCTGCAGCATAGCAGCAGCAGCAGCAGCAGCAAAGCACATTGAATTCATGAGCAGCAGCAGCAAAAATAAAACGGAGAAACACACTGAACTCATGAGGAGCAGCAGCACAGCGAAACAAAAAGAAATAAAGGGAAATAGAAAGAAATAAAAGGGAATAAAAAGAAATAAAAAGAAATAGAAGAAAATATATTTATTTATTTTCACTTCTTGCCTTCACTACGCCGTCCACGTCCCCAGAAAGGAGCATTTGGCCATCCCAAACACCCGCGAGCCTCGTTATTCGATTTTGGTGTTCTAGCAGCGTCAGGCCGTGACCTGCATGCACCCCAGCAGCAGCAGCAGCAGCAGCAGCAGCAGCAGCAGGTGCAGCAGGAGCCGCTGCAGCAAGCGCACCAGCAGCGACAGGCCGCAGGGGAGCGGGCGGACCAAGAAGAGCAGCAGCTGCTGCTCGCGCCAGCTGCAGCACCCCCAGCTGCAGCACCCGCCAGCAGCAACACCACTCCAGCAGCAGCAGCAGCAACACCACTCCAGCAGCAGCAGCAACACCACTCCAGCAGCAGCAGCAGCAGCAGCAACACCACTCCAGCAGCAGCAGCAGCAGCAGCAGCAGCAGCAGCAGGCACCTGGGAGGCTCTTTGCGTCTCCCTGTCTGGCGTCCCAGATTTTGATGGAGCCGTCGTAAGCCCCCGAAGCAAAACTTTGCATGTCTTCATCTGTAGATACACCCGGGGCCCCCAACCCCACAGGGGGCCCCTGGCCGCCCAGAGCTGCTTCTCCGTTGCGCAGCCAGCAGACAGCGGAGACTTCGGCCTGGTGTCTTTGAAGCAAAGAAGACAAACAAAAGAACTAAAACTCAAAGTAATTAATTAATTTCAAACAACTTTTGCAAAAAAATTAATTAAAAACACTAATTTCAACTTCTGCAAAAAAAAGCAAGTCCACAGAACAAATGTGCACTTTTTGCGAAATAATAAATATTCAACTTTTGCAAGGAGAAACAAATCAAAATAAATAAACATTCAACTTTTGCAACTTATTAATTTAAATGAATAAATGTTTAACTCCAAATTGCAAAGCATCATTGAAAAGAAAGCCATCTGCGGTGTACGTACACCGCGTGCAAACTCCCACAAAGCCAAACACCCAAATGCACTTCGACTGTATCTACAGCACTTGAGTTTCAATTTAATCACTTAGCAGCACTTGAGTTTTAATTTAATAAGCAGTTTTGCTGCAGATCACGAGAAAAGCACTTGTGAAAGCGCATGCATGCGGGGCTGCTGCATGCGCATGCATGCAGAGCCGCTGCATGCATGCGCATGCAGCAGCCCGCATGCATGCGCATGCATGCATGCGCATGCATGCAGCAGCTGTGTTGCAGCTGCAGACCCGGTGAAGGTGGCGAGCCGCAGCAAAGGGTCCACGGAGTAAAGACTGAGGGTTTCGTCTCTGCTGCCGCAAACCACTTTCAAAGCTGCTGCAGTCTCGAGAGCATCCAAAGCCAAAATCCCATCCGTGTGCGCATTCACAATTGCTGCAGCTTCCAGCTGCTGCTGCTGCTGCTGCTGCTGCTCCTCAGCCCCAGGCGGCAGGCACCACACGAAAAACTCCCTGCAAACGCACGCCGCCCCACGCGCTGCAGCTGCAGCAGAAGCAGCAGCAGCGGCAGCAGCAGCAGCAGCGGCAGCAGCAGCAGCGGCAGCAGCTGCTGCTGCGGCAGCTTCTCCGCAGATGCAGCAGCAACAACCGCAAACCCTTGCGCAGCAAAGGCGCGTGCGAAGCCGCGCAGACACCAAGAGCAGCAGCAGCAGCAGCAGCAGCAGCAGCAGCAGCAGCAGCAGCAGCAGCAGCAGCAGCAGCAGCAGCAGCAGCAGCAGCAGTGTCTTGCCTGTGCCATCTGTCAAAGCCGAACACGCGGGACGCATTGGAAGAAAATACGAAATTAAGAATTAGGCGATGCACCAAATGACCTTCAATAGACAACTGGGCCACTTCCTGAACAAGCCATAAAACCCACAAACCCTAAACCCTAAACCCTAAACCCTAAACCCTAGATCGCTGGTTTCCATACGCGTAGAGCAGCACTTCTTGCAGCACCAGGCCACTTAAGACATCCTATGCATGCGCATTTGCACAAAAGATGATGGAACAAAACGAAAATGTATTTAAAATGCATATTTATAATGCACACTAATATAAAAGATGAATAAAATTCATTTAATTCAAACTTAGAGTGCAGAAAACAAGAAGTTCACAATGCGCATGCATCTGGGGTGTATGCGCACATCGGGAAAGCGGGAGCAGCGCGATCGCGCCTCAAAATAAACGAAAAAGGAAAATAAAAAGCGGAAAAGGAAGAAAAACAAAAAATAAAAACGAATAAAAGTGAAATAAAAGGAAATAAAAGGCATTTTCGTGCAAGATCTCACGGTTTCGTTCAACATGTCGTACACCCTGTACTCGCAGGCGTCCGCCAACGCCCCCCCCTTCTTGCGGCGGCCCCGCCCGTTGCTGCTGGGCTCTGAAGAAAGGAAGCAGCAAGCCATGAGTCCGCTGGCTGCGTCCACGCTGCAGCCCAGCCACGCGTTTCTGGGGAAGCAGCGGCATATTTCCCGCACTTCCGCTGCTGCTGCTGCTGCTGCTGCTGCTGCTGCGCAGGCTGCGGAGGAGGCCGGGCTCGCCCCTAAGGCGGCCCCAGCGCCGCCCGCGCCCGCAGCAGCAGCAGCAGCAGCGCCGCGAGGGGCTGCTGCTGCGGGGTCGCAGCCGAGCCGCCTGCCCTCGCCCGCTGCAGCAGCAGCAGCAGCAGCAGCAGCAGCGTGCTTCATCGCCCCGCTCTTTCTGCCCTTGTTGCTGCCGCGGCGCCCCCCGCCGCCCCCACTGACAAGGCTCTCGAGCTCCAACTCAAGAGAAGCCAAAGAAGAAATGCTGCCAGCAGCAGCACAAGAGGAAACGGGAGAAAGAGAAACAGCAGGGGGGGCCCCCCTGGGGCCCTGGCGGGGGCCCCCCTCGGTCCGGGGCCCCGGGGGGCCCCCCAGGGGCTCTATGACGCACAGGATCCTGTCTGCTGCAGCTATCAAGACTGCTGCCTTTGCATGCAGCGCTGCTGAGAGGCAGCGGCCAGCCCCTGGGGAGAAGAGGACCATTTGCTGCTGCGGGCCCTCGGCTGCGTCTGCTGCAGTGCGGTGAGAGGAGGCCGGCGAGGGCTCCAGCTCCTGCTGCTGCTGCTGCTGCTGCTGCTGCTGCTGCTGCAGGGGGGAGGGCGCGGCTGCGGGGGAGTGAGCTGGCTGCTGCAGCAGCGCAGCAGCAGCAGCGGCGGGGGGCGGCGAGGCCTCGGCCCTGGAGGCGTAGACGCCCTTGGGGTGTACAGACACCGCGAAAAGCCGGAGGCCCTCAGTGGGCACTGCAGCAAAAACACAATTTCCACTTCTCCACTTTTGCAAACTCCGCGCATTCCACAAGAACTGACAGCACCAGCCCTCGTGCCGGAACTCCCGGTACCCCGCAGCCGGCTCCCCGGGCTGCCACGCGCTGCCCTCCAGCTGCAGCTGCAGCCCCTGCTGCTGCTGCTGCAGCAGCCCCTGCTGCTGCTGCTGCAGCCCCTGCTGCTGCTGCTGCAGCAGCCCCTGCTGCTGCTGGGGGTGGAGCCCCTGCTGCTGGGGGTGGAGCCCCTGCTGGTGCTGGTGCAGCCCCTGCTGCTGGTGGCGCAGCCCCTGCTGCTGCTGCTGCTGCTGCTGCTGCTGCTGGTGACGGGGCAGCAGCAGGAAGCCGTCGCGGTCCACCTGGCGGTGGCAGCTGCTGCTGCAGGCCCCGCCGTAGGGCCACCACACGAAGCCGCTGGCCTCAAACCACTGCCGCCACAAAGGCTGCATGCGGGGGGCTCGAAGGGCGGCCCGCAGGTCTCTGCATGCAGCCCCAAAGCGGGAGGCGTCTGCTGCTGCTAGGAAGGGCAGCACGGCCAGCAGCACGTTTTCCCGCAGCAGCGCGTCCAGGCACCCGCCCCCCTGCTGCTGCTGCTGCTGCTGCTGCTGCTGCTGCTGCTGCAGCCCCAGGGAACGTCCGACGGCCTCAGGAGGTGGTGAGACTCCATCAGGATGCTGCGTGCTGCAGCCTGAGAGCAAACAGCAAGTGGAAACAAACTTCCACTCAGAGTGAACTCCGAAGTTGAACGAAAGCCCCGCAGGGGGCAGCAGCACTGACAGCAGAGGCCTAGAGCCCCTCAAAGAATCCGAAATATCGCGAAATAAACAAATAAAAAGCTGCACTGGCTGCTGCAGCAGCTGGGCAGCAGCAGCAGCAGCGTTCAGCTTCGCGATCCTGCTGTCTGGGGCTGTTCGCTGCAGCTTTCCCACTTCCGCAGCTTCTGCTGCAGTTGTAAGAACTGGAATCGGAGGCGCATGCGCTGCTGCATGCGCGCATGCATCCAGAGGAGTCCTCAGGCTGGGCTTACCGGCAGACAAGGCGGAGGGGAGAACTTGTTCTGCGCGTGGGCGCTGCTGCTGCTCCTACTGCAGCAGTTTTGCTGCTGCAGCCCAGTGCGCAGAGCTGCGATCAAGTATGCGTACACTTTAAGACAGGAGAAGGCGCCGCCGAAAGAATGAATACCTTAGAAAAAAGCGGCAACGTCGCCCGTTTGCCACTTGCGGGGAACTGCTGAGAAACCCTTCCGGGTGCCACGGCAGCCAAAACCCCCCAAAAACCTCACTTTATTTACGGATGAGAAACAGCCTCAGTTGCTACTGGGGCTTGTCTGGCACTGTTTCTGCAGGACGGTCTTCTGCGCCATGCCTTGCAGAGCGCCGCATGCGTGCACGAGCACAGCCCGACGTCGACAAGCAAAAAATAGCTATAATGTTCCATTAAAATGGAAAGTAAAACACTGAAATGAATTTTTCCCGCCGAAATTCCCCGGATTTCCACGAGGAATCCCCCAAAAGCTCCTGAGCGACCAGCGCATTGGAACTCCTGAGCCCTCCGGCAAATTTGCAAAAACAGCTCAAGAGCGTTCGTAAATGCATTCAGTCACCAAACTCGACAGTGGAGCCACTTAGTGATTTGTAACCAGTCAATGAATTACTAAACCACAATCAGCAACAGCAATATTTCTACGTCAGATGGACTTCGCCTCCAAGCGAAAGAAATAGCCGACGGGCAGTTCGTGAAATGACAGTCATTAAGAGTTATATTCTTCTGTTCGGGATTTTAAAAAGCTTCACGAAATAACCTTTCTGTTATTGTTTCGTTTCACTCCAGTGGCCCATGCTGTTCATGTCAGGGTTGCTTCTTTCACTGAGTACAGGACGAGTAAAAATCTGACGCGGAGGGAAATCATCCAGTGCCTCATTTGTTCATGCTGCCAGACAGTAGATGAAAATTGAGTAAGGAACAAAGGCACGAATCTGAGGATATCCTAGAGGGATTATTGAAGCGTTAACGATCGAATTCCGAAAGGGTCTACATAGGGTCCACAACTGCTGTTGCTTTTGCTGGGTCTATGCAGAACGAAGCATCCAAACCTGTGGACTTAGAGTATATTCCTATCCACCGCTACTATGAACTGAATGTACTCTCCCTTCTAAAACCTGCATTGCTGCTGTCGGTCATGTCTGTATCTAGTGGCTTGCCGAGCACTTGTCTTCCGTGTTGCGTTCACACTGGGGAGGAGAACAGGACTTCGAAGCCTTTAAAAAGACAAATAAAATATGTAAATCGTCTGTCAACTGGTGAACTAGCTCCATGAGCCACTGAAAAGAATACGCCACCATAGAAGGGGCTCCTTAGCGACAGCCCTGGGAGCTGACACCTTTTGAAACGGAACCCCAACTATTTAGAAATCAAAGCTGAGTATCTAACACCTAAAACCTTAAGCCAACAAACGTTAGGAAGCGGGCCCGAAGATTTGTTGCAAACAGCACACTATTCAACAAACGCTGCCGAGTTAACGGCAAGACGCGGATAGCAGAAGCCGCAGCACCAGCTGGTCACGTATTGTGTCTATCCATTAACTGCTTGATTTCAGGACACACAAAACGCCACGCCGGTCTCGTCCCATAAGCGCAAATGTCACGAGTGACAAATTGTTCTATGGGCTTGAAGCTGCTTCGAAGTCAGTGGCCTCTTGTGTGCACCATATACTGATGCCACGGGTGGAACAAGAGAAATAGAAATGAACTTCACGCATGCACACGAACATCGTGTACATCTCAACGGTCTGACTGTAATAAGCACAAGGCAACACTCCTACGCAACAAAACGGAAAATAGACACTTCTCAATTCAGTCCAAGTTCCCTCGCCTCCACAGCTTCCATAATTGCGAGGAGCCTTTGCATAAGCCGCTCAAGACCTTCCATGTGGGTTTCTGTCTTTCGCATCCACTGCTCGACAACGTGCTGCTGCAAGAGCTGGCTGCTTTCATTCGAGTCCCCCTCATGGCGCCTGGCGCTGCGAAGGTGTTGTCCAGGAAAGAAGCTTTGTTCTCGGTCCCTGGACTCTGCAAGTGAATTCGCATGCAAAGACCAGTCAGAGGCAATGGGGGGCCCGGTGTTGTGGCCTTGATCGGCCCCGCTGCTTCGCAAGAACGGCCTGGGGGGAAGCGTGGGGCCCCTTTGAGCCTCCGTTGCAAAGGCTGAAGGCCGGCTGCTGCCAGCGCCTGCAACTGCACCACCAGAGGCGTTTCTGTCAGCAAAAAACGGAAACTGCCCATAGCCACCATCAGCCCACGTCTCCGCAGGGTATCTGGGGGGGCTTGTCAAGTCTAGCATAGCATCCCGCGCAGCGTTCGACCGAAGCGCAGACATTGGCGCTCCAGCCCCGTATGCATGTATGGGCGAGTTGACGTGCAGCTGGCGCTGCGCAGAATATCCTGACGGTCTTGGGGGACCCTCTTCAGACAGGACTGCCCTTAGAGGGAATTCTGCTGAGCACAGCAAAGCAAAGTGAAAAGGCACAACTGCTGCCGTTCTGGGCTGACGTCTTCGTGGTCGCCCGTCATTCTAAGAAAACTGTGTGTGCAAATTTGTCTGCGTTTTCTCATAGTTACATGCACGAGCACAGCAGGTGAATATGCATGCATTTGCACTTTGCAATCGGATTTCTACGCGCAGTGGCTCCCCTTGTCACACTTACCCCTAGGGGGGCGCTCCATTTGAATAGGAGTCGGGTGTCCGCTTCTGTTGAACGCTGAGGGTTCCAACAGCGCGTGAGCCGATCGTTGGCAGTACTGTTGTCTTTCATCGAGGTTGTGCAGCGAGCTGACTGTCTCGGCTTGAGTGCTAGAAGGAAAAGACAGGGGATCTGTCTGGTGAGACCTCTCGCTTGCAGCGCCTTCAGCGCGCCCGGATCCAGGGCTTGCATACTCAACCGTGCTTTGAGTTTGAGCTCCCCTTCGTGGAAACGAAGGGCGCGTAGTAACCAAGAGGCTGCTGGTTGCGTGAGGACCGTCGCGGGCAGTGAGCTGCGGGCGGGGGTCGTGCAGGAAGGGCACTGGACGCTGCTGTTGCTGCTGCTGCTGCTGCTGCTGGTGCATTGCCAGCTGCCGCTGCTCATACAGTCCTACTTGGCCACTTTGCGGAAACCCACCGTATCCATCTGTCCAGCGCCGCCTGTTAAAGTCGGTTCGCTGGCACCGGGATGCTGGAAACTGAGGCAGCGTTGTAAGCATGCTTCTCAAAAAGACATGAGTTGGAGGCTGTCGCTCCAAGGCCGCAGTCTCAGGGGTTTCTACTGTACCCCAACAAGACGCTGCGGCCCGCATTCCAGTCACTAGCGGACTTGGTGGATCGTCTGAGTTCCGACGACCTCGCGACCCAAGCTGGGTAGTGGAAAGTTGTGATTGCACGTCTTGAGAGGGCAGGGACCCCGTATTTCCTGTCGCCCCTGGAGGCTGCAGCGGCGTTTCGCCCTGTAGCCCCTGTTCATTTAAGGCAATCGGAGATAAACAACAGCCAACGGAGAGAGGCTCGTTGAGATAGCTAAGTCCGCTGTCCACAGCATGGGCGGCGCTCCCAGCCTCCTGGGGAAGGTCGCATGGCTGCCCTTCATTCCCCAAATCCTCAGTTGCCTCCGGCTGTGGCTCCACCCATGGGCCTCTTCCAGCGGGTACGGACTGCGTTTGGAGGTTTCCATCGCAAGGCCTCCCATGCAAGTTGAGACTCCCGTCCGCTGGATTCGGCGCGGCTGCACCAACCGCTGCAGGTTCATCCTCTTCCACTTGCGGGGCTGAAGCCCCCAAGTCCTCGTCTTCACTTTCAAAAGGTACAGCCAGGACTAGCGCAGCTAGCCCAGCCGGACCTTCCCTCTGGTTCTCTGCAGTGTTTCCCGTGGCAGAATCCTCTTCTGCAGAGGAGCTTCCGGGCTCTTCCGAGTCGTCTGTATGCGAGGATGCAGGGGGAGTTGAGGGAACAAATAGTGCTTCCAGCCTTCCAGATGCAAGTATGCACTCCTCAGGACACCCGGGGCCCCTGGCGCTGCTGGCTAGAGGAGCAGGATCGTCTTCTGCACTTTCGGACTCTTCTCTCCGCTGAGCCGCCTCATTTGCCTCCTCTTCCAGCAACGCTCGGATGCGGCGAACTGCAGCAGAAGCGGCTGAGTGCAGATTCGCGCCGTCAAGCTGTTCGCGCTGACGAGGGGCTTCCGGGTCGGAACTTGCTGCTGATGAAGAGAGGGTGGAAGCCTGTTCCTGCTGCAGTGGTTGCTCGCGCTGCTCGCTGCTGCTAGCCTGCAGCAATACCACTTCCGCATTCTCCGCTGCAGCAACTCCGTCGCTGCCACTGAAGCCGGAGTCACTGCTACAGACAGCAGGTGAGCCAGCAGGCATGGAGTCCGTGCTGTGTTGACTCTGTGGGCTCTGGGAGCTGTCGGAAGGCTGAGAGGCACTCGGAGCAGCAATGACGATAACGTCTTTGAAGCTTCCTTCAGAGAGCAACTGGAGAAGCAGGCTAGCAACTGGCAGTTCTTCGCTGCTCTCCAGCAGCCGCGCCGACTCCTTGGTCGACGCAAAAGCCTGATGCAACAGAGCACGAATACGAGTCGGGTGAGTGGACGTCTGGGGCGGCTGTGCACAAGGGTTCCAGAAAGACAGACTGGAGAAGATGATTGGCTACAAAACTGGCAAATAAGACCGCAGTAAGCGAATCATAGTCAGGGGAGGCCAACCCGTTACAGTCCCTACAGAAACAGCCAACCGAAGCTAGCATGCAGTACAGCGCAGCGTGACGCTACAGTTCTTCCCACTCCCTTCTAATCCCTCATCCTACAGCGGTTCGTTTCGCGTGGCCTTTGCGGTGTTGCCTCTACAAGGGAAAGATCAGGCGGGGCTCACATGAAGCAGTAAGCGCTCCACCAACCGGGACACTGGGGGGTGTATTAAGCCGTAAGCGCTGAGAAGCTGTGGCCAGCTGGTGTTGGAACTCAAAAGTAGAGGCGTAGCAGCGAGAGGCCCCTCCTGGGTGTCTGCATGACCTTCGCCATCCGCCTGCTGGGTGCAACCTACCCCTGTTCCGGGCCCACCTTCTCTGCCTGGCGGCTCGTCGGCACCCCCCTGCCCACGGGAGCCTTCGTTCTCCCTGATAACTTCAGTGGAAATATTTACTTCGTCCTCATGACTACCCTTTAGGTGCGCATTCGGCTGTTGAATGCCTGGGGGTGATACGCCGTCATCTTCGTCCTCGGGAGGATCAAGTTGGGGCCCCCCACGAACTTTGTGGATTCGGGAAACTAGAAAAGCCAATTCCATGCCAACCTGTAGACTAACTGGGCACAAGCAGGCTTGAGAAGGCACACAGTGAGGCATGGACGGGACCGTTGCCGGATCTGACGAACCTTCCGCAGCTGTGCTACTCTTGTCCTCATGGCGATTCATTGTGAGCAAATAAACATCCACGACCCTTCTAAATGACAATCCTGCCGAGAAGCGGGGAAAATGAGCGTCAGCGCGAAAGAAGAGAGTCCCAGAACTTGGGTGTCGCGAAGACAGCGCCCAAGCTGCTGCATGGCCCGTTCGGAAGTCCAGCCTCACTGGAAAGCAACAGAACAATGCAGACTAATCCCAAAGAGACTCTATGAGCAGCCTCTGCCTTACTCGGAGCGCCAGGAACAGTGGGGAAAGGATGGGGTGAATGGGGTGAATGTCTCCCCATTTGGCTCACCGGTGGTCCATTGGTTCGGACGTGTGCATAGGGCTGTGTTACACCTCTACTGACAATTTTTATGACTCTGCTGAAAGAAGAAAAATGCTTTGCTTGCGTTGTGGGCTCGATCGAAAGTATTGTAACCAAACGGAAGCCCTGAGCATCGACAGCCGTGTGTGTTGAGGAAGAGCGTGTGATCCCGTCACGCATTAGCATGCGGCCTAAATTTCAGCCCCCACCCAGAAATTCAGGGTCAAATGTAGATGCTACTTTATGCCTCAAAATGTTGAAGTGGATCAGGCAGCTTTCGCCTGTTGGCAAGCTCTGCTGTTTGACTCGGGCCAGGTAGGGGGACTGACAGGTTACAAGGGAGCAGAAGGGATAATGATTGAATTGTATGTCTTTTACCTTGAACTTCTGTCAAGAAACGGTTCATCCTATATAATTTTGGAACGAACCTTCACTGTAGATGGAGTTCTGCGTAAGGCTCACGTAGACAATCGTGTGTACGAAAGCAGGACGTTCCAGAGTCGGAGGTGATTCGTTTATAACGTAACTGACAGCTCTAATTGATGCCGAGTGGAGTGCTGCTGAGTGCTCTTTCACTTCCTGCGAAGCCGGTCGCATCCCGTGGCCAGCAAAGGGTGCCGGACAATGTACCGAGAGCAGAAGAATTGTGGCCTGGCTCACAGAACTCTGCCAGACAAATAAAGCACCCGCACAGCTTTTTACTAGCAGCTTTGCCCTAGCACTGAGTGTTTACACAAAAGCGCTCAGGGAGCACAAAGAAATGGAACAGACACACCAGAAGGGCCCGCACCCTGCAGCAATCGTCAGCGCAGAAATGCCTGTGACATTTCACGCAGCAGTACCAAATGCCTCGCTGATAATGCGCTGTGAGTTCTCACTAGAATCCAGCACAGCAATAGAGGCAAGAGAAAGAATAATAGGCCTCATCTGGGAAACGACGCGGCTAGGAAGCTTAAGTTCTTTGTTGCAAGTCCTGATCACTGACTCGCTAGATATCCTCATTTTGCCACTTGGCGCCGGTTCGCAATGCTGCGCGCTGAGGAAATGGGAGGCCCTTAAGTTATGCTCGATATGAACGAAAGGGCCTCCCATTTCCTCGTTTGTTAAGTTATGCTCGATATGAACGAAACCTTTTACGTAAGCAAAAGCATTATTGCTCCCTTCGCTTTCCTGCAGTGCACATTTGCTTTTCCAGTGTACCCCTCGTAACCACCTTGCGTGAAGCATCTCACTAGCAGCCTTCTAGTAGTCTGCATTCACGCTTAGGCGATGCGCCTTTGACCATTACTCTTAAGGCAGAAGAATCCTCAAGCACAAATGCGTAGGCGCTTGTTTATATAGAGAGCATTGTCTTCCATCAGAGGGAAAAACGTTCGGTCTTTTTGGGTTACAAGCTAACATGATGTGATATTGAACGAAAAATATGCAATACTGAACCCGGATTCTGAACTCTTCACCCCTAAGGGCTGAGCTTTTCGTCCGGCTGTCCTTACATGCATCTCTCCAGAAAAGCCCTCCTAGGCCAAACACTTCGACGCAGCATTAGTGAAGAAGCGGAAAAGAGCCAGCTTAAAGGCTGCTAAGCTGCTATGTCCCAGACAGTGCCAAAATAATAATAAGGAAAGCGACAAGCGGTCACACTATTGCCCCCAATTGGTCTACTGTGAAGGCGGGAACTTTCTTTTCCGCCATCGCACTGAAATCACAGCTGCGGAAGGCTCGTAGGACATCACTTGTGAGATACACGGCTTGTGGCTATTCAATACTGGGAAAGACGAACGCTCTGTAAATTTGGAGCATGGCTCATAGCTTGTTAACTGTTGCTCGATCGAGAAAGCCACGAAAATGCAGGCCTGTTTAACTCTGCCGGATGTTGCAGCATGCTCAGTGGGCTGGAGATAATCATCTGCACGCGGGGTCACGCTGCAACTAGTGAGATCCCTCCTTCGCTGGTTGCTGAAGGCCAGTGTAGCGCTACGGGAATTTGACTACGAAGGCCTCAAAGCCAAAGCTCCTAGCTTTGAAGAGGACAGTTCCACACGTGCCAGTCGCAACAAACGGTTGCATCGAAGTTGGTGTTGTGGTAAACTCTGCTGGACTCTGTATTTCAACTTTTGAGCTCAGCTTCAGGCTAGTAGCCGACAGAGCTGCGCGCTCTTTGAACTACCTGCAGACTGAAAAGCTAGCTACAGGATGAATTAAGGCACCAGGCTCACAAGGTTGGGATAGATGAGTGGACAGAACTTCGATGCGGTTTCGCTGACCTAATTTAGAATTAATTACTGAACAGCCGGACACCTGCAAATACTTTCCAAAAACAAGAGACTGCCCCTCAGTGGAACACAAAAAATTCACTGTATGTCACGTGAACTTCAACTAAGCTTGCAAGTCAGTTTCTGGCATCCCCGCATCGACAACTGCACCACTCTCTGCCACTGAATTGGAAACTGCTGGATGTTGTTCCTGTAGCGTCGCTTCTTCGGCAACGTCTGCTTTTTCCATTTGCGACGACTTCTGCTTCTGCTCCGCTGCGCGAGTATGCTGTTCCCTCTCCGCCTCTAAAACGCCCCGTAGCAGCGACTCTGGAATGCTGTCATGTGTCTCAGCCTCTGCACAGAGCATAGCAGAAGCAGCAAAATATGGAGAGTCAGAACCAGCCAGGCGGCCAAAGATACTATTTCCGTCCCACGTAAAATTAGCCAAGCAAATAAGCCAAGGAAGCACCACTAGACATCTAGCCGTGGAACCCGGTCTTTACACCCAAAGGAACAACTACGCTTGCATACCTTCTTGCGCGACAGAGCCAGTCTCCCCTGTAATCTCTGAGGAAGGGGCAGCGAGACCCCTACCAATAACTTGGGAGTCAGCAACAGTAACAAATCGTTGAGCCAGCGCGCGGCTTAGGAACAGACAATAACAACGCAATGCATTAATCCCACAACTGTAAACATGTACCGCGATTGCGCTAATTCGAATCACATTACTGCAAGACGCTTTTATGCTTACCGGATTTGCATGCCTGTAGTTTAAATGAAAACAGGCTCTTAAAATGAACACCATAGAAAATAGAAGTCAACAACCGCCACAGCTGCAATGGCTTCAAAAATGTCTCACCGGCACACAAGTGTAAGCCACTTCCGCTCATCAGAAAGCAGCAAGTCCGAAACGACCTGTTCAATAGGCATACACAAAGGACAATACAAAATAACATCTCGGCCTACAACGGCTAAAATCAACTAATCGGTGCAGAGGAAAGAACAAGGAAGTGACTAAAATCAATCTTTGCGCCATGTAATTACTGTTTCTCACCCGCTGCAGAGCTATACTTGTGAACCGAATGTGGACCTCTTTTCTTTCGGGTGTTGCAAGAACACTGGTCCACGCTGCTCCTGCAGCGCAGCCTGCCGCCAAATCAGCCTCAAAGCCTCTTTGAATCCGTGCAGCATTGGAATCACTTGAGGACTCGTCTTGCTGAGCGGCATCGCTCCCGCTGCCTGCAGCCGCGACTTTCGCTGGCGTCACAATGCCTCCTGCCTTCACAACGCTGGGACGGCGTTCGTGTCCCGGGCCAAGTCCTGGAAACGGAGTATCTTCTAACATGCTGCTGTGCCTTGCCCGTCCGCTGCCAGGCACGTCGAGAAGGTTCCCTGATTTTTCACAGACAGCTGCAGTGCCGTCTGCTGCCTTTGTCGGATTGCCCGTAGCTGTGGTGACTGTGCTCTGTGCGGTTGTCTTCGCTGAAGAAGCCCCAATAAAGTGACTCAAAGCTTCTTGTTCCTCTTGTGACGCTGGCTCACATATTTCCAAAACGTCCTTACATATGAGGTGATAAACCAGATCATAAAATTCGTTTGAAAGCATACGCCGTGGGTATGCCATACGAAGCTCTGTGGGTCTAAACGCTATAGGAAACACTGAAGCCACTTTAGCCATCATCTGCTCCTCCGGCAGGAGTCGTTCTACAGTGAACATGCACGTTGCAACAAGCTGGGGAACAAAAGGCAGAGAGTTCAAATTCGAAACAACACGCGCTTCACAGTAACGCTTTATTCCCCATCCGCCGTCTTCCGTGTCTCCCTGTTTCACAATTGGTTCCTCTGCATCGCTATCCCACTCCAAGTGTTTTGCTTGGGCTACACGTCGTCTGCGGCTTTTACGCAGGGCCGCGAGATCGTCTAAGTCAAGCGGCATCCATGAAGGTCTGAAGCAGAGAAGAGCGAACTCGGCGTCCGTCAACTTGCCCCGACGAATTCGGCTCCTGTCTTCCTGCGCGAGTTGCTCCTGTAGTCCCACACGGCAGTGCACAGAACCTCCTCCAAGACCATTAGTTTTTCGCCCATGACGCCTTGAGGCAAAACGTCTCGCGGGATGTTGTTCTTCATGCGCATGCGCTGAGTCTCGATGGTCGCCTCTGTTCTGTTCATTGGGTTTATTCGTGTCCTTCGAGCCCCAGTCTACTAGTCGCCTGCGGAAGCACTCCGCTAAGTAGAAGGGAGAGCGCACTGGCTCGCCATCGTCATTCTCGTCAAGAGAAAAAGAAACAGCACTGAGTACAGAGGCCGGCGGTGGCATGAGCTCGAGAGCCGCTGCGTCGGGAGGCATGCAAGAAGGGGATAATACGTCGTACTGCGCCTGCTTCCTCCAATCTTCCCTGCAGGTTCAGACGTACACACCAAGGACTTCAGCAAGAGTTAAAGACTTACAAAGTTCGACACAGTTCCACACAGTGATTTCCCTCTACGAGAAAACCTGCTGCGGCAGTCCTTACTGTTCTGCGTCCGCAGAGGAGTTCGGAATAAACACCTCATCTGGCTCCAAGCCCAGCGCAATCCGCTGTTGGTTTAATGTCTTCAACAGTCCAATCACCGCCACGATCACTTCGTCGTCCACGTAGCGGACCTCTGTATCGTCTTCATCACTGGAATCATCGGACGTTGCCTGTTCAGCTGAGGCCTCTTGATCGGCCGCACGTGCTCTTGCTTTTTTTCCCCTTGGGGTTTCATACTCTTGCTGAAGGTCCTGGTACTGTTTTCCCATGCGCTGAAGCAGCAGACGTCTGTACCGCAGCTCAAAACTGAGAGTGTTCTCTCTTAGAAGTTCACTAGAGGCACGGTTCTTGCGTTTTCGCTCCTTCAGCACAACATGCCCGTCCTTCACCAGTTGTTTCGCCGTCAAAAAAATGTACTTCGGGATGCCTGCGAAGCACGGGAAAGAAACACCCCAAAAAACGCATAGTGTCTCAGCCTTGAAGAACCCTCTCGGAAGTGAGTGGAGTGCAGGATTATTCGTTTTCTGTACGCCTCGAAAATTCCCCGTTAAGTTCGACACATACCCGACACATACCTGAAGAGACCCGATGTACATAGTGCACGAGCTCGAAGGACAAATACTTGCGGTTTATATGCAAGCAGTGGGCCAAAAAGCTTGCGGTTTCATCTTGAGTCAGCTTGCCTATACACATCGGCAACAATTCGGCAAAGCAACATCTTACTCAGCTGATTGATTAAAGGAGCATAAAGCTATAAAAGGAAGAATGTACGAACGCTCTATGCAATGCAGGGAAACTTGGCTGTTCGTCAAATTAATATTGTGAGCTTCTCCATCCATAAGGCTTACGTAGTTCTATGTAGGCGTTGTTGGCCTTGGCCATTTGCACAAGCTGCTGCTGCTCAGGGACATTATCAGTGGTATCACTGAGAACCGCACAAGGACAGCTGCACATAAGTTCTTAATCGTACTCCGCAAATGGAACAAGCGCTGCGTGCTCAATGCTATCGGCGGAGACTCTACAAGCTCGATGCATTACCTGCAGATGAGAACAAAAACCAGCGGCTGGTAGAATTGTGACGGAAGTGGTCTGCACAAAGTCGTGGACTGCACTGGGTTCTCCTTCCCGCTGCTATCCACGACAGTAGCCGTGCGGTACCCTTTGCCTGTGCAGAGCAGTCAGAAAAAATAATCTGCAGCGTGAGACCTCTTCTATTTGCAATCCAGTACAACTCAGAGACTCCTGATGCCACTTGGCTTGTGGGGTTGTGGATCCAAGTGTTGGATGTACTGAATACTGTGCAGCGTCTGGTAACGGGGACTACCAAGAGAAAGACGAAATGCACGAATCTGCTGTACCGAGGGCTGAAGAAAAACCAAAATAACCACTAGAAATGCAGTGTCTGAATACGTACACCACCAGCATTTTCGCGAATGTTTACACCGCCACTCCTTCAAATTCCTCATGTCATCGTCAAGCCGGTGTTGGCGCCGTACTAGGGAAACCCGAGCAACAAGGCGAGCAACTCTCCAGCTGTCTCGATCCATCTACGTTGAACAAAAATGAGAACGCGCAGAGAGGGTTGCCCATACAGAGAGAAACACATAATGTAATGTGCAAAATGTGCAATGCGGATGAGAAGCATGCCTAGCGCTTTTATGTGGGCTAGGAACATACCTCAGCGAAGACACTAGTGCCGGTGCGAACATGTAGGACAACAATAGAGCTCTCAAAGAGGGAGAACCCGTTGACAAGAGATGCTATTATTGGGGCAATCGACTCCCCGCTTGACTGCAAACGGATATCAGTTGACACGGTAATCACGTGCAATGTCAGGAAAAGCGGTGGAAAGAATTGACCCCTTACAAATCAACTAATCTGAGCGCTATGTTAATGACGCGTTCTGTGGCGCTTTCTGTGCAAATTTCGCTAAACTTACCCCGTACAAATATCTTGGGGTTGATTCGTCACTATCTGACGTCTCGCTCTCATCTGTGCACGAAGAATTATATTCCAACCAAAGCATAAACAAGCTTTTGTGAGTTCCCCTGTGAACTAACACAGTGACCTGGAATAGACTGAGGTGACAGTGGGTGAGCTGACGTGCCTGAAGCAGCTGCAGCAAGTCCCAGATCAACACCGATGTTTTTGACGAGTGCGTGCACGGGTGTCATCCGGCGCCCAGCCTCTTCAACCCACTCCGCTGGCCTGTGCAAGAGTGCCATGGTGGGTGACATCGGCACGTATCCCTGCAGTTCGAAACATCAAAAGCAACTACGGATTTTGTGCCGCTGCGGCCTTTGTCTGTTTGTTCATATAATTACTGCTACAACACGTGCGACGTCCCCACATGATGACCTACCTGCTTCCTAAGTCGTTTCATGCACTTTCGACGTTCCTTGGCAAGGCGCTGGTTTTCTGGCAGTTCGTGGGGCAGAACCAATCCATGTACAACTGTTTTCATCTCTTCAAGACGCCTGCGAAGGTTTTTAGACAAAAGCTTTCCAACGATATGTCAAATTACAACTCAACTGCATGTTATGTCTGTAAAGTCGAAGTGTATAAGCACCAGCAGTTACTACGGAACGTACCAGTGGAAAGAAGGATGTATAAGCTCTTTAGTAAGGCCGTAGACTGAGTTGTCACGGTCGATGCGCGAATAGCCTTTCTTCTCACGGTTGTCACTGACACGCCACCGCTGCGCGAACAGATAAAGGTCTGCAGGCAAGCTGGAAGCATAGCTCACCTATGAAACCCATCATAGAACATGTACCAGCAGGCGCTGACAAGAGGCTAATCCCTGGCACTTAAGCCATCCCGGAACTACAGGGAGAATATCCTAGCCCTCAAAAATTTACTTCAACCATTTCAGTGCAGAGTTTTCTCCACGCAAGCAGGGGAACATTGCCAATATTAAGGTTGGGCGAGTCTGGCATGTTGCTGATGCAGAACATCTGGCGATTCGATCTTTTAGAACCTGCAAAAATGCCGCATTTCGTTGAATGCAAGCATGCCGTTTTCTCTCTGCGCATAGGCCCTAGTGTAGTCAGAACGCCACATCTCGTGCATGCGCTCAGCAAATAATTCACATACGTCTACTAAACGTGAAACAAGGTATACAACTTCTCACCACAGCTCCTCACCAAAGTCGCGAATGTAATCTTCCAGCTCTTTCGCTCCCAGGCCTTCCCTTCCTCTGATGACCATCACCCCACCGACCTCCAATAAAGGTTGCAACTGAGGCATGTACGGCTCATACCTGGAGCAACTCACACGAAAAATAAAAGTGTAGTACTCATCGTTGCTAGGGCACTTTGTTGCGCGAGCAGGAGTCCTTGATAAACGGCGCTCATTTGTGTGTGTGACTACTGGCGATCTCACCATTCATGAGCGAAGATAGGCCCGCATGGCACTGGGTAGTCCAACGGAGGTCGAACAGCTGTTCCTTGCTTTTTGTACATCGTAGACGGCTCCAAAATACTTTTCAACTGGTTCCGACAAGGCCAACCAGGCCAAGACAAAAGCGGCTCCTGTTGTAAGGAGACGCATTCACACAAAAATGCTCACACGCCCTTTCGAAGAAGCGATAGATAGGCAGGACAAATGGTCCTCTTGAACTACAGTGGGGTCTGTAATCCTCACTACTAAACCTACGGCGAACCGCGGCTAAAAAGTGAAGCTTTCGTTGCCTTAACGAACGAAAACCACGCAGTGTCTTTGAGATACAACCGAATGCTTTACCATTTCCGGGCCAGTTTGGACCTTGTTGATTAGCGCTCCGGTAGGCATGTACACTTCGATGGGATGTTCCTTCCCCTTGACCATCATGCTCGGAAGTTGTTGGAATTCCATAGCATGTTGGGCAGAGCGGTACGTGTTGCTGTTGTACACAACACCAGCACAAATCATCCACTGAATATTACACACTTCCCAGACGACCAACCCTGTCATGATACTGCGAGCGTCTGCTGTGTGGGTTGGGTGGCTAGCAGTTTGCACACGTTGCTGGGAGGTGTTTCGCAACTTGCTCACGCGTCAACGTATACTTCTCGGGGACCTGCCTTTGCCATGAGCCTCGCAGCTAGGTTGACAAAGTCCCCCAACGCGGTGTATTCTTTCCGCAAATCGTTTCCCACAGTCTGCACACCAAGCAGTGGCTTGTGAAAGCACCTGCTGCGTACTTCGAAGCTGCCTACGGCCAAGCGCTACTGTATCAGCTTTGCCAACAAGTGCTCTACCCGTGTCTGATCGTGCGTACCCCACACCATACACGGCCGCTGGTGATTCCAATCCCGGCATCAAGTCCAAACATCTTCATGCCGTCAATCACGCGCAGCCCTGCCATGATGGCTAAAGTAGGAAACCAGCCCAACACAGTGAACGAAGCAAGCAGATTTGTTTGTAGCCAACGGAAAGCTGCTGCCGTGCTCCTGCTGTAGCCTTTCCTCAAAGATCTGCACTCGGATTTTACATTAGCACTCACCTCTAACTGGATCGTCGAGGTGATACACCGGTGGTAGCCCAAACATAACGAGCAGCAAAACACCCTTGTCATCTACAAGAAATTTATTGACAGAGCCTTCCTGTGGTAAAGAGAATTCAACACCATGAATGCATTATTTTGTCAGCGGTCAGCGCCATAACTCAAGAACGGCAACAGAGCTAAATTGCCTGAAGCCAGCGCACCATGGTGTAGGCTGCCTTTTGGGTCATTTTCATGAGCTTGTGGGCAATTTGGCTCCCAGTTGTAGATGACACATCCAGTCCCCGAACGCAAATGAACATGACAGAAACCTGCGACACATGCAGGAATACACGACAGTAAGTTGGAAAATGCGCAGCTGTTAACTGAAAGCGTCACACTAGAATATTGAAAAAACGAGTCTTACCGTTCGCAGTTCATTTAAAAACACGTTGCAGCCAGACTTCAGCCTTCTAAAAACGGCAGGCGGTATGTACCTGCGATCCACCGACCCGACTCAAAACGCATCAACGTAAGGCTCCGTACTAGATACAACACTGGCCGAGATTGTGCAGCCTCACAAGTTGGGAGAAAATCAACGCGTACCTCCGCAATAAGTCTACATCGTCAGCGTCAACTTCAATTGACGCCAGTGGAGGAGGTGGCGACACGTGCCAGTCGGCTACCCTGTGAATTGCTTCAAGCTCCTCTTCTTCAACGTTGTTCTTTGACTCCTCTCCCCCAGCGCTGGCGTTGCTGCTACGTCGCTTTTCGTTTGCAATCTTGACTAAATCGTCAGCGTGAGGTAACAACCGGTAGAATTGTCTTCCCGGAGGCGAGTCTTTTACCGGCTCCAGCGAAGCAACGCCATGCATTGCTTCCGCCATGGTAGGAGATACAACAGTTTCGCCTGACGCACGCAACGGTAGAAATGCATAAAATCCATTAAGCTAGTCTTTGCAGAAGACGGATGCCTCCAGTTTGCATAAAGCTGGAAACTTAAGGCTTCTGAAGGTGGCAAGGCTGGCCAGGGACCCCTCACCCGTGCTGGCTAGCGGCTCCGCGATAGAAATTTCCTCTAAAGGAGCTCCAGCTACCACGTACTCCCATCGATCCATGATACCCCCAACCTGCGCAGTTGCCAAGAACTTGGAGTGAGAACAAAGGCTGACAGGCTTCAAGATCGTAATAAGTTCTATTTTGTCTCAAACAAGAGTAATGTGGAGCGGCTTGTCCGCATGTTGGTCCTAACGTGGAGATGCACCAGTCATCTGCATGTTTCCCACAGAGCTGTATGCAGTGTCGTCACATGGAGGAGAAAACTGAGTCAAGGCCAGTGGCACAGAGGGTCGCGTGAGAATCTGACCTGGAGAATCGTGACTCGCCCAAAACCTGCTCCAATGTGAAGGGTTAAGGTTTTTCCCGCAAAGCCTGTTGGGTATTTGTGAAGAGACTGGTGAAGATTCATGCAGCACTTGGCTGCTAGAAGGCAAGCCTGTCTGGCGTCTACACGATACTCATTATCCTCCACACCGTCCTTCTCATCTGAATGCAACAGTTGGCAAAGCTCTCCAAGCAGCTGAGAGCAACAAAGATTCTCGACTGCCACGTAGAGCTTGTGGTGCAGCATTCACTTCCTCGTGTCGATCTGTTCAAGTAGTGACCGCACTGACTCTAGCCTCCCCCCAGAGCCTCTCTACAGAAACTGTGCTCAAACTCGTTAAGCAGCTTGCAGCAGCCGCACATTCATCATCATCGTCTTCGTCGTCAACTGGCCAAACAATCGTCAGCGCGTCGCCACTGAATTTGATGATGTCGCCGCCCCAAAAATGCACGATGCGAATGATCTTGTCAAAAAACTGATTAATGATCTGAAGGATGCACACGCCGAGAATGATGCACGTCAGTTACCCCTTGTTGCGACCACAACCCTCTCAAACCTTTCCAAACGGCTTCGAAATCGCCTGAAGGAACATTTTCTATTTGGTTTCGTCCAAAATGAGCACATTTTAGTCTCATAGCTTACACCGCCAAGGCGCTCCGCTCCGTTTGGTTGTGTGTCCAGCGCTTCCGTGAGAGCTGTGAAGCCGCTAGCGTCGCAGAAGACCTGCATTCATTACGAGTGACAAGCGGGTACTCAGATTACATCGGCGCTGAACGTACGGTTATCAAGCAGGCCAGAGGCCCCGTTACTAAAACAGCCAAGGGAGACTTACAACCGCAGCAGTAAACTTCTCAACTTGTACGTCGAAGTCATCCGAGTACCTGTAACATTCAACAGTCAAACCTTCTGTCGCATAGCACGGAAAGCCAAACCTCAAGTGCGAAATTATACGCAGCCTTGTCGGCCAACCAATGTAGCAGTTTGCCAAACCTGATGCGCTTATCCGCGATTGCTTCCAGCACTGTCCTGGGCACGAAACAGGAAAATTGCCGGACATCCAGTGAATGGCCTTGAAGGACAAGACAACAAAAGCAACCACTCTGCTGCCCATTTCTACGATGCAAGGTGGAGAGAAATAAGAGCTAGAGAACAGTGAAGACCTCCGCGTAACAACCAGGCGTATCGGCACTACAAGAAATGCACATGAGAACCAAGAAGCTTCCCACAAAGAAGTACGACTACCCCTGGAAACTCCGGGCCGACGACTATCTCACCAAGCGTGTCCGCAATCTTGGCCTGCTTAGCAGTCCGCTGTTGCATGGATGCATTCAGGCGCCGCTCGCACCGCAAGGCAAGCCACCGCCAATCCTGGGAAACGGCATCGCCCTGATGAGAGGAAACGGCAGACATTTAGCAGCGAGTGCTTCCTTCTAGGTGGAAAGGCCAACAAGAACCAACAAGACACACAAACATATCCATAAACAGCGTCGCAAAAGCTAATGGTGTAGTAGTGAGACGGAAAAAATGCGCTGTCAGTGCCGCACTTCAGTCCAACGGTACACCACAGCTTACACCGGAGACGAGGGAGTCTGACACATCTTCTATGGCCGGTGGCCTCTCTGGTGCTCGAGAGAGGCGCTTCACGCTGGATCCACTGCGAGACTGGAGAGTTTCATGGAGACCACCGGGGCCAAACGCCGGCGTCTTCCCTTTTGAAGGCGAACACACAACATCACACTGGCAGCTTACATCGAGTTCTGGCTGGCTCGTGTAGAGTCACTTGCCTGCCATTTCACTTAAGCAAGGCAAAACAGCCTCTTGCGGCTTGCAGAGAAAAGCGAGTATACTGTGCGAAAGCAGATGCATTAGTGTCAGAAGGCTCGTGCAAGATCAGCTGGATGCCCCATAGGGGACGCTGTGTGTAGACGGTGCACCATCGCGCTATTTGGGAGGAAAAAAGAGCAACGTGCCTACCCAATTCGCTAACAGTAACCCTCGCTACACTCACAGCAAAGCATGAAAACTGCACCGGAGGTCTACTTCAATTCGTTCAATCGTCTGCCCCGTCAGTCCCCCATTTGCCTCACCATCGTTTTGGCTTCTTCGATACAGGCGGTTCCCCATGGAGTGGATCGGTGGTTTCGCGACACAAATCTTCTCAATGTGGCGAGGGTTTTGCCTCCGGCCAGCGTCAGGTAGACTTACCTGTCGCACGCTTAAAATCTCCCCAACGGCTTTAGAAGGAACTCATCTCTACTGATGTGAAGCTGCTGCCCGTCTCTGACTTTCGCAGAGTCTCCACAAAGCATTCACATCGAAGCTGTTTCCGCTGGCCGATCTGTCTGGCGCGCTAGTGAGTGACGCATGTGGTCCTCTGTTGTGGCTCCACAAGAAAATTATCACGTACTCGGGAATCTGTTTTCGTAGATGCTTTGGTTTTCAGCAACTCTACAGAGTGAATCACCGCGTGCGCTGCAGTTGCGCTGTCGCTGGACCTCGATAGAGCCAGTGGCTCGAACACTGAGCGGGGTGTGGCAGCCGAGCATGAAGCTGCACCCGTTCAGTTCAATGTCTTTGTTGATAATTCAGCACATTCAACACAACACAAATCCTTCCACTAAGCGGCATTACCCAAGGAGCTTCCCTGGCAAGCGTTGAGGCGCTCGATGAGAACTTACAGCAGCCCCGCCCAAGCCGCATGCACAAATATTGGCCGATTTTGCTGATTCCACATCGCCATGTTCTTCAAAAAGCAACTTCGTATAAAGTTCTTACGATTCCCAAGTATGCTGGTCAATTTCCATGGAAATAGGACCCTTTGCGGCTCCGTGGCATCATTGGGCCCACCAACCGCCTCGGCAGGGTCGCTTTAATCTGATGCTTATCTGCCTCTCGCTTGACATAAGAAAATGAGAATTTTACAAGAAAACCATTTAGAGTACAATGTGCTTTGATGGATGTCTGTGTCCGCCTCACCAGCAGCGCCATAAGGGGCCCCCCATCGCATGCCGCACTGACGCGGCGTGTGCTTGAAGCAGTACTCAAGGGACAACACTGCTGCTTTTCACGTCATATAGCTTTTTCGAGATCATTTGGCTTTTGCAGCCTGACAACGGGGAGCAAGGGCTAGCCAGCGCCAACGATGCTGGCGGTCTCGCCTTCGCTAGCAACGAAGCCACACCGGGAAGCGATAACAGAGTTTGTTTACCTCCGGTCTTCAATCGTTCGTGCAATTCGTTCGGCTTCTGGGCGTTGTGGGGTGCGCTGTCGCTACTCAAATTGTCTTGAGGGAAAGCAGCCCAGTGTCTGCGTGGGGACTGTTCCCGTCGTAACCGTTGTGGCACCAGCCAGTGCTCCAAAGCACACTTACCAGCCTTTTGATGAGCATGGAAAGCATCCAAAAGTTAAAGCGGCCCTAGTTGGACTGCGTTCTGGTCATTGCGTCACAGCTTTCCCGCACCTCTCGTGCAGGCGGCTGCAAGCTCACCCTACGCAACACAGTCTGAGGATGTTCTCAGAGGACAGAAAGAACTCAGGCGCGCGTATGCAATGTTTACCGGCTTGCTCGATGGCAGATACTTTGGGAATCCCTCATTTCGTTTCTCATCTGAATATCCTTGCAACTGAGCGCCAGACAGAAGATTCGTCATACGACAACACGCGGACCGCCAATGGTGGAGCACATCAAATTGTTGCCTCTCCAGACGTTGAAGCAGTGCATGTGGATCAAACCCTGTTGCATCCAGACTTTTTGCAAACGCCGTATTCTTCAGAGGCTACTCAGGGCAAGGGAGATTGCGACTTACAGCGGCTGCAGTGTCGCTATGACTCTCTGCTTCTGAAGCCTTCTTCATTTGGACTGCAAGTGCAGCTGCTGCATTCAATTATCCGAAAAGCTCAGCGGCTGCACGACGCTTGTGTTTATTTGAACAAGCTACAGCCGCTGCAGGAGCGAATTCGCACCCCTGGCACAAATGCCTGTCTGGAAGTCCATCCTGTGTTGTATGCTGCGTTTTGTATTTATAGCCCGAGCCATATCCACATAGCTGCGACGAAGCGTGTTGGGGCTGCAGAGCACTTTTTAAGCCAATACATGATGGCTAAGAGCCGGACCAAAGCAAGAAGCCCCTCCACCGGTCTTGCCGGGTGTGGGCAAGTAGCAGATGACCAGTGGCTCGCCAATACATCTCTGAAGAACGTTTGCGTATACCCGCTAGAGGCGCTGTCACCACGACTGCGTCTTTTCTGTTTGACAGCCCCCTCTCGCCTGGCTGCCTGGGAAGGCATTTTTACGCGAGCTCTTGCATTTTGATCTGCTCACATTTTGAAGTGCGTTGTTGGATGTCACAAAACTAGATTGCGTGAGCGTTGCAAAACGTATGCGTTTTTGTCTGGCGTGGTTGGCATACGTTTTAACCTGTAGAGGTCTGGGGACTAGCAGTATCTTGCACCATCCGACAGAGACAAAACTTTACGAGCTGCACTGGGTAGTGCCCACGGCTACCAGCGATAGCCTGCCGTTAGACTGCCAGTGCTTTTGAAAAAGATCGTAAACAATTCATTCTGTTGATGCAGTGACAGTTCGCCGGGGCTCTCGGCTGGATGGCCGAGTGGTCTAAGGCGCTGCGTTCAGGCCGCAGTCCTCGCGGGCGTGGGTTCGAATCCCACTTCAGTCACTTTTGCTCGACACACTTACCGGGCATAGGCATTTTTGTAGTGGCGGCTGGATGGCCACCGGCTTGAGGATACAGACGACGGTAGCACCACAGTAGCCGCCGGCCTCTGACGCAGTTCACTCTCCGTGCAAGCAGACGGAAACACATTGCCTGACTACCTGGGAGGATGGAGTGCTAAAGAAGAACGTCGCAAGCGTTCGATATCAACGGCAGAAAAAGCCGATTGGCTTGTATATTCTAGGGAGGAGGGTCAGTGTGTACAAGGAAGATGATGATTCACACTTATAGATGTACTCTCATCTAGTTATCAGCACCGTAGATTCCAGCAGGCAGTGCAGTATCTGACCGGAATTATGAATATTTTAACCTCTAGGCCGCGTTGTGGGCGCAGCTTTGGGAGACGCAGATGCATGAATATGCAAGTATTCGCGTACAAAGTGAAACTTGGTGAACTGTGTCCAAAATCATAAATTTCCACCTAGTGAAGTGGCAACAGTTCAGAGAAATACCTCACTAGGCTGTTCCTCGCCGTCTCGAACCTACCAACTGAGAGCTCCAAACGGTGTATTCACATGCTGGGGAACTGCCAAACGTCACACGGTTACGCTACCATGCGTTGCCGTTGTAAGGCATGGGGTTAACTCGCCGAAGATAGCTACCTATGCAGTGCGAATTTGATTGCTCGAAGTCTCAGCGACTATAGCATGTGCACTTCCGTACAGATCAGTAGAACCATCGGCCGGTATTCTGTAGTTCTCTACGTGGTAGTACAAAAGGGCCTACATAAAACTGCTTCTCATGTATTTTAACCCAGAGCAGACGTTTGGCAATTGACTTCATGGCACCACAGTTCTGTGCGAGCTGTGGTTTCCAGCTGTGGTTCAACGGTAATAGTCGTAGAAATCCAATTAGCATGCTTCAGTGGCAATTAAGGAATCTAGCAGAAAGATACTGTTGCCGATCCAGCTCTCTGCGTAATTGCTGTTACTAACTGTGATTTAGCACCAACTCCCGGCTGGATGGCCGAGTGGTCTAAGGCGCTGCGTTCAGGCCGCAGTCCTCGCGGGCGTGGGTTCGAATCCCACTTCAGTCAGTTTTAGGCAGCTTTTTTATGCTTCTGGAGCACCAAAGTTCCACTTGGACAGCATGATAAAGCTGATGACGTTTAGCTCTCGATATATCGCGGTGACCGCGTGAGGGCCAGTAGTGCCCGTAGAAGCAACAGGGGAACTAAGGGCCATCTTGTGTCTTCCTTATTACTTTTTGTAGAAAAAAGTTGCCGCGATTTAGAACACACTCAGCTCGGGGAAGAAAAGGCGGGAAGGATTGCAAGGCTCGCTGGTTGGACTGGGTGAAGATCTGGGGCGCTGGGTTCGGTCTGCGAGCAGACTGCTTGCGCTGGTGTGAGTACTCAACGAAGTTCCTTGTGTCGATGTGTTTCGGCTTTCATTCACCGTGTCAAAGTCGATTATACAACTAAACTCCCGCCGCCAATTCTCCATGCATCAAAATATTCGAGAGGCAAGAATTGTGGGAGCCAACGCGTGAAAAATGAGGTGGATACCATTACAAAGAAGCACTGCATTGTTTGATGTAGACGGAAAGATCGACAAGTAATGGAGATGATTCTCGGCTGGATGGCCGAGTGGTCTAAGGCGCTGCGTTCAGGCCGCAGTCCTCGCGGGCGTGGGTTCGAATCCCACTTCAGTCACTTTTGCCACTTGAGGTTTTTATTTTCAAATAAACGCTGTCTATTCACCGTGTAACAGTTACAGGACGATGTTCTTTTTCCATATTCTGCCGACTTCAAATTTTGACCGTGCAGCGCTTCTTCGTCCTAGAGACTGATGCAACGACTACTGCAAAGTTAGCATGAAGTTCCTGAGATGGTGGCTTGACTGTGATCCTGCATTGCAGATCTTACGTCTGCAGTGAAATCGTAGACAGTTTTAGGGAAAGATCGGGCGATGCACGTGCAGACTCAACCAAAGCAGATGAGAAGTGCATACTCCTCACTTGTTTTCCGTCTCACACTTGCTTTGGGACGAAACACCAGGATCCTCATCGTGCGCCTGAGGGAAGTGTGCTGCCTTATGTGCAGCATTCTTCCCCCAGCAGCTCTCGATTCGCAAAGAAAACAGAACGTGTATCTCTGCCGTTTGTGGCATCAAAGGACAAGCGAATCGGTGCCTCGCCGCATCGCATAATAGGTCCTCTCTAAAGAGAGGACAAAGGTACCTTCCAGTAGCTGCTGCAGCTGGAACTTTCGATTAGAACGAGCCCCCAGGGTTACGGCATGATGGAGGTGACGAGCCTGGCTTAGCCGTGTGGCCCCCTAATACACCGGCAGCAGACGAGCTCTACTGCGTATGAAACCCGTGTAGATCCCCTCGGCTAGTGCCAGTGTCACGAAGCTCCGTATGGGGGCAGTTGTATGGGCTAAAGGCAGCTCAGTCGGTGCGGTGTTTGAACGAGCAATACTTTCAACTCCGCAATGCAGCTGCCTATGCAACTTGAAGCAGCCTGTGGCTTTTGCAACTTTTACAGCCTTCATACGTAACGAAGTAGATTCCTTCGCTGTTTAAGGGTCTTTCTGGGCTTCATTTTTGGTTCTGAAAGTACTTAAGTAGAGAGGGATAACCATGCATGAGCAATGCGAGGCCTCGCCCACTACAATTTGGCTAATTTTGGTGAGAACTAGCACGTTATGTGCGTCCAAAGCAATAGAAGACAAGTGTTTAATGCTAAAGAATCAGGGCTTGCGTCACTTTAAGCGGCAGCCACTGCCCCAACCACAGCAAGCGAAAGACCACCCGGAAATCAAAGAGCTGTCTGCCCCATGAAGTTGAAAAGAACAAGGAAAAGTCGGTACCTTCCACATGCAATCTCGGGAAAAAAAGCGGTGTCAGTTAAAGGGCTTACTTACGCTCAGGGGGTTCCATCGCCATAGTCTCCTTGAGCTTCTTCAGGTCTGTCGCAGCTAGCACGGGGGGAACCCTGTCATACCAGCCACACCCAGCACCACCGATATCTGCTGTTAATTCGTTTTGGCTAGGCAACACAAAAGGCTTGAGTACACAAAAGCTAGTGTCTTCTCAAATTCAACTGCACAATAACATCCAACGACTACAAACGGCAGCAGTGCATTACTCCGTCGCAAGCCAATGTAGCAGAAAATATGCCTGTTTGCCTCACAGAGTCTCCTCGGGAAGCAGCCTCCCATCAGACCAGCTGGATAACTGTTGCACATGCAGCTTTCCTTTCCACGGTGCATTCAGTGTCACTGTGTTCCTGGAGAGAAGTCAGAGACAGAACAAACAGAAGGCCAACAAGGCGAAAAAATTGCCTACAAAACGAAGTTCCTGTGGTCCACCTCGCAATACTGCCTACGCCAGCTCAACATAGTTTCGGCATTTCCCCCCTACATTAAGTAATTCCACCAATGCACCTAAGCCACTCGACAAAATTACTGCAGCCACACCAACTGCGGAGGGAACACAACGGAACACTCGGGTAAGTAGGGCGACTCACCTGACAGGGGATAGTCCGAAGGCCGTGGGGCTTAAATAGTGAAACGAAATGTCAATGGGCTTTCTATGACGCCACATATTGGCCACTGGGGACTCACATAGCAGTCGCAGGCCGGGTAGCTCTCTAAGGTAATTTCCTGTTGCGGCTGCTGTGCTGCTAAGGCGAAGCCAGCTCCTCCGCGCCACCGCCCCTGGACGCGTCGCAAGAAATCGATTCACCGCATTCTGCTGAAAACGCTGCAGCAGACCAAGGCCTGCTTGGCGTTGCTGATGCAGCAAAAGCAATTGTTTTTCTTGCAGTGCCGACGCCGAAAGTTCGCGAAGTGCCTTCAAGAGACGGCGGCGCTCTGCCGCAGCCACTCGCTTTGCAGCCCCCAATATCTCCCGAGCTGCTCCTAAGCCTTGCCATCCGTGCGTCGCACCCTCGTCGTCTAGGAGCAGCTTCCGCACTGCGTCAGGTCCCAGAGACTGATGGTAGTCTTGAACAAACTGCTGCATGCTATCGGCTGCCATACGAACAGCGTCAGAAACGCGGCTGAACGGTCGCAACAACCACAGAAGCCTATCACTCAGCGTGCACATCTAAATCCAGAAAACTCAAACAGTTACATCGCCACCTAAAACTCGAGGGACAGCACTGCATTTCAGATTTCTTGCCCCACTTCGTAAGCTCATATATGTTTTCGGGTTGCTTCTGCAGACCGCTTCTGTTGTTGAGCAATTGCTGTAGCTGTAATTCGAAGCGTCGCACTGCCAGCGAGCGAACGGCTTCCAGTTGCAGGCGGTGCAGTACTCGAAGCTCTGCAACGCCAGCATCATAGCCAAGACCAGAGGGACAAAACAAAGCTTCGTGCATCCTAGAAGACATATGAGACGAAAGGCAGGCAGACAAGACGCTTCGCAGAGGCGCGAACGTGGCCAACAGTTCCATCATCCAGCCATGCCAAGCCCAAACAAATGCAGAAGCACCAGCTGTCCTTTCAAATTACCTTACCCTTCACTGCCTCCTCTGCTAGAGACTGCCGAGCCTCTGCAACGGAAGCTTCTGCCGCCTTTGTCATCTGCCCACGCGGTAAATTCCTTTTAACGCTTGAAGCGCAGCTTGCGTCGAAGTCCCGAAGCACCCGGTGCAACACAACAAACCCCTCTCGGGGCCCCTCAACCTGCGCCATTTCCGCCTTAAATCTGAACAAAAACAATCCAGCAAAAGACATCGATGCAAAGGGCGGTAGAATAGATGCAAATGATCATCGCTTTATCTACAGGCTTGCACTTACTTACTGGGTGCTGCAGATTGGCACAAATACAGGCCACTATTCACATGCATCAATGTGCACGAACTTACATTTTTGCGTTTCCATATGCTTCCACTGTGTTGGTATACGCAAGTGTAAGTATGTAGGCATACGCATTTCACATGTTTCTGCGTATGAGTAGATGCTGAAGCATATGCACGGACCTGGCGAGGAACTTCCTTCTGAACATCTCAGCGTCGTAGGCGACTGCATCGGTCTGGCTCAACGGTTCTTGAAGCTTCAATGCCCCACTTTGAGTACTTCCACTTGGCGTCGACAGCAGCAGTTTCGTGGCTTCAGGTGGAGCAAGGAGGGACCTACAGGCGGTGGCAACAGTGTCAAATAGGTGCAGCGCGCCGCCAGTGCGACCTCCGGTGCACTCATCAGCAGCAGCAAACTGCAGCTTCTGCTGTTGCAGTTCTGACTGGCCGGCGTGCTCTGCATCTTTTGCGCGATGCTCGGCCAGCAGAGAGGCCAGCACCTGCCGCACATCTTCTGTGCACTCTGTAAGAATTGCATCAGGACTGACAGAAGTGGAAGCTTCCCTCGTCTTCGGCTGATTAGGTCTCCGCACGAAGACAACGTGCACAGAAAACAGCTCTCTTAAGCCCGGCACGGACACACGGGCTGGCGCAGCTTCTTCCTCTTGGAGCTTTTGCTGCAAGTGCTGCGGGTGTCGCTCATCTCGTGCGTCGCCCGCACCAAGCTCGGCAGCCACCATTCCCCATTGTTTCTCCAGCAGGCGTAGTGCTGCGTGCGCTGCGTGGAGCCTTAAAGTGCTTGCTGTGGCTTCTCTTAAGGCAGCAGCCTGACGGTTGCTGGAGGCCACTGGGGGCAGAGAAATAGGGTCCCTCAGCAGTAGCACCAGCGGCTTACTCCTGCTTACTGCTTCTGTGAGTTGCGACGGAGCTTGCTGGTGATGGTGCCTTTGCAGGTCCTGCTGCTGCAACATACGCAGCTGCATCTGCTGCTGCATCGCTAGAAAGAGTATAGGCAGGGGCTGCACCTGCGGAAGCAGCGACGCCGGACCATCTAGAGCCCCTAAGGGAAGTGGCAGCAGCAGCAAATCGCCGCATGCAACAGCAGCCCCTGCGAGCGCTGTCCTTTCCGTGGCCTCGTGGTCCGTTTGGCTGGCCCAGCCCCCTGTCACGGGAGGAATATGGAGCACTACAGGAGGTCCTTTTACTGCTGCTGCTGCTGCTGTCGCTGCATTTGCAGCATTGTCGCCGGCGGCGCTGTGCGCAGGCGCAGCAACTCCCTGCGCCTTGGAATCTCTCAGAACCCTCGGGCGGTGCCAGAAAGAAAAAACACTAACGGACTGATCCTCAACTGCTGTTCCTTTGGCAGCTGCGAGCCCTGTTGCTGTTGTCGCTGCCTTATCTGTCGCGCTGCCCTTCGCGCGGACGTCCTCGCTAACAGGACTTAAGAGACTTGTGGGGTCGAGCTCTTCTCTGTCGCTGTTGAAAAGAACATAGCAGGGGCTAGAGCTATTCGGTGCATGTCCTTTTTCCAGGCCACTGGTCACAGTGACATGACTCAGAGGACCCTTCGAGAGCGACAGCCTCATCACGGGAGGACAAGGCTGCAGTGCAGAAGTCGTGGAGGGCCTTTGTGGATTTGCAGCGCGAGCCTCAGCAGCAATACAGTGGCAATGCAGAAAGGACACGGCACCCAGTAACATAATAAGGCACACAGGAGAAAGCTGCAGCTGGTGCAGCAATGAAATCCGCGATACTTTCCCTCTGTCTGACTGCCCAGAGTTGCCGGGGTCAGGCTTCTTCATGGCTTTGCGCCCACCTGAGGTCCCTGCCTCGCGCTTTGTGTGACGGCGCATAGAAGGCCCTTGGAAACGTTGGGAGTAGCATGGTCGTGCATCGGAGGGCCAGCAACAGTGGCGCGCCTGCCGGTGCCTGCTCATGTCCTCCCAGTGGGGGCCCTCGATGTTTCGGTATGCAGGCTTGGTAAGCTGTTTAAAGGAACCCAAAGACAAACATGGATTTTCTTAATATCCACGGGAAATTCGTACGATCTTTGAATTCAGGCTTGTAAAGTGAGGTGTGAAACTGGACGCATCTTGCTGCGATCAAGTACTCCACAGGGCCGCTGGACACTCTCGGCGAGACACTGGCGAGCTAGTCAGACCTTATCAAAGCAACAGTAAGAATTCCAAAGATGGAGAAAGACATGACGTTGTACGCTAGGACTATGGCTGAGACGAGCGAGTGTGGGGCCGCGAGGCTTCTGCCGCCGCTGCGGATTTCTTGCAAAAAAAGGAGGCAGGCAAGAGAAATTGATTGTATATGCTCGCTTGCTCTCATATATAGATATGATAAATCGGCGGTAACTAGAGATGCAAAATGCAGATACGGTTGCCCAGGTGCTGCCGACTCGCCAGGCCTCAACTCAGCATACCACGCCTTTGCAGGAGGCCGCAACCGGGGCTGCTTTACTGTAAATGTTTAACGCGGGGCTTTTTACTTAACAGAACAGTAACCCTACGCTAACAACTCTTCAACGAAGCAGTATAGAGAGGGGAAACAGTCCAGCCTAGCACTGCTAGTCAACACCAGCCATGCCTGGCCGTCCCCTATACTGCTAGAGCAGCTGTGAAATTCTTGGGAGATTTTCTTGGAATAGGAGCAAGTGATGTGCATGCAGATGCTTGTTTTACACTCTAACGCCGGGAGAAGTTGGCGCTCTCACATACAACGGCGCGGGAATGCAGTTGTGCATACGACCGCCTACACCGCAGCCAAGTTTATTCCTCCGCTTTACACACAGGAAAGTGTCAAACCATTCTGTCGAGTGGAGACAAGAAAGACGACAACTAAAAATGAGGGTTCGCTACGTCCGTCGGGCAAGGTCCCATAGGCCCCTCAATGGTTTTGACGAAGCAAAACAAGCAAATAATGGGGCGCCGGAACCACCTGTACTGCAACGCTACCGGGATTCCCCCTCATCACTGCTGGAGGAACCGTAGTCTCCCAAGAGGGCTGAGCAGTCCCCTGAGGGTTGTGGCTGTTGCTTTCTTACAACTAGTAGCTTTGGCGCAGCCACGCAAACACCCAGACCGAAATTCAAGGTGTTTCCCTTAGATGAAGCCGTAGTAGGCTCCCTGAATGTGGAACTTGCGGGTCTGGAAGAACCTCCTGTGTCCGCCGCGCTGTCATCCCCGTGTATCGCGGAACCAGGGTCTCCCGGTTTGCGACAGATGAAAGTAGAGGAGCCCTCTGTATTCGCCTCGCTGCTACCCGCGTGCGATACGCTCGTGCTGGTGCTGGAGCTGCTGATACTTACTCTTCTCTCCCGAGAGCTGCTGCTGCTGCTGCTACTGTTGCCGCTAGTTGCAGAATCGTTGCCCTTGATGCTGCTGCTGGTGTCGATGCTTCCAGAAGGTCCTCCGTTGCTGTGAGCGTCGCCATCGTTTGCAGCAGACGAATCAGCGGGTTGATGGTCTGTGCCTTCACTAATTTCCTCCTCGACCGATTCTGCAGGATAAAACAAGAAAAACAGAGGAACACGCCAATACAAAAACATCAAAGATCCAGAACATGCAAAAGTGGAGAAGCAGGACGTGAAGTAAGGGGAAATGCGCCACAAGCCATAAAGAACAAACGACGGCGCAAAGCCAATAATATGCGTTGAGAAACAACACGTATCAACACATATTTTTATGTACACATACAACTAATGCTGAACGGAAGGGGGAGGAGCCTTACCGGGGTCAGAGTCCAGTTCTCTGGCTGCCCTGAAGAACTTGAGTTCGTCTTTTTCCATTTCCGTCCACTCCTGTGCAAGATTCCCCTCCATGTCTTCATCTTTTATTCTACGCTGCCTTAAGAAATCGAGCGCCGCATCTGAGGCTGCTGTCCTGTCAAGCAGGCGGCGGTTCAGGCGCCGCAGCTCCGCCAGCTGCTCTAAGGCCAGAACCTCCTGTTGCAGCCCCTGACGCGACGCCTCCACTTGGCAAATTTTGTCCATTGCAATTTTCTCCTCCTACGAACGCGCATGAAACAAAATGTAGTGAAATAAAACATAAGTAAGGATATGGGCGGCTGCATAACCGCATGGCTTGCTCCAGGAACACAAAGGGATCTGTGTGGACGTCAAAGCAAAAATATACTATAGGGTTTCACTAGACGGAACTCCTGAGAGGTCGAATTTAAGAGCGTACTTCCTCTTTCTGCATGCGCTCAGCAGCTAGCGCCTGGTCGCGCAGAGGATCGCACATGCGGGTGCCTCCCCACTCCAGCACATAATCACAATTCTGCGGGTCTGTGGGCCACACAACATTAGAAAATACAGAAGCATCCATTAGAAGACAGAGAAGCTGGTGAGCAATGCAGTTATTGGTATAAATGCTTGCACGCAGATTGATAATTGGCCGATAATAAACGGACGTATACTGTGGGTTTATTAGTGTGGACAAGTTTTCAGCGCGGCGCTCCAACAGTGGCTCTATTATCTTGGAGTGTGAAGAAACACCTGTCTTGAAGCAAATTTCTCCTCGGCAGTGTGGACAACGTCCGTAAAAGCGCCACTTGATGATCCCCAAGTAGTCTTCGCCCTGAACCCCGAAAGAGAGGTATACAACAGAACATAAGTACCAGGCCAGAAAAGCCTAGATGGGGGTAAAGTGCACAAAGTATCCGGTTGCAGGACGTTCTTCTGACTAGAGTGTTCGTAGTTGCCGACTCACAAGAGGTCGGAACCTGCAGGTTCATAGGAAATCACGCGCTGAGCTCACCTCCACTTTCTCTACTCTGGAGTTAAATTTGGTCCCAACATAAATAAATTCGCTGCAGGTGCCGCATTTGAGGGTGAATGGATACATCATGCGGACGTTCATGACTTTGTTTTTGTGTCTTTTCTGCGGAAGATCGTAAACATCCCCTCGACGTCGTTTCAGCTGCTGCTGTTGTATTCGAAGTACCTTCTTCTTCGCCTGTAATTTGTCAAAATCAAAATCAGGGGGGTAGTACTTCACGAGCACTTTGCGGTCCGCCATCTTGTTGACGCAGGTACAGGAATTCTGTAGGGACTAACTTCACAATTGCTAGATTCCACCCTCTTCAGACAATGGCAACTTTATTTAAACGCCTTTATTGTCCTGTTTAGGATACATCAGGCACGCAGCTCATGAGGAAGCTCTCCACCGTGGCGCCGCTGGATGCTATGGCAGCCGATGGAGGAAGCAAACGAAAAATAATCGGCGAGAAAACAAGTTGTTCAAAGCCTGTCTAGCCCAATCACTAAAACGCCATTAAAAAAGCCATTGCTAACTTTCAATGGGTTTCGAAGTACTCCATGCTTCGTGCCGTAGTTTGCCGCCGCATGCAAATTCGAGTACAATGCATGACCGCTGCGGCTCAAGAAATCGACGAGCATATGGCACATTTTTCTTCACAATTTTGCAGTTGAATTTTACCTAATGGATTTAAATGACTTCAACTTTACCGCCCAGACACTCATTTGGTTCGCTGTCTCCTGCGCGAGGCTCCGGTCGAAGACGTTGAATTGACTCCAATGTCCAGAATACGGAAACGCAGCCTCGTCTACCCAGTGATTGCAGAGTCCTCTGTGGATCAGGGCATTCATCATCGCCGTGCTTTGACGCCACAGCCACAGCGTGACGAAAAGTTATGGGGGCTATTCACTTCCCATCCGCCATTCTGAAGAATCTAATTTGATCCGTTCGTGGCTTTCCCCTCCCTGTAGCGTGCCCAAGCTACATAGTATATGGCGTATGCTTTTAGGACTGGATAGGACGTAAACACACGCTTATATGAAGATGAGCAACCTAGGGAGGTTCCGCCTCATCGTGCCCGCGGCGAATGCAAAGCCCTCTCCGTCAATAGGGCAGACCTTGGGACCCCTGGGTAAGTTTAGTTTGCTATTCCAAGATCTTATTTGCATGACTGTGTGGTTTAAGGCTGATGCTGTATGGTAGACTGCCGGGCAAGTAACGAGTTGATATCCTCTTCAACCGTATGGAGCCTCGTGTCCAGCTATGATGAACTACTTGTGGCAATGTACTGCGATGATTCCTTGATGTATTGCTTATTCAGGCATCAACATGATGGCATTTTGCAAAGAATTTAATGCGCGAACCGCAAAAATACGGCCGGACGTTCCTGTACAGGTCACAATTGTGCCGAATGCAGACAGGTGACTGAGTAGCAATCCACGGCTCATAAACGGCCTTCCAAGCGGTTCAAACAGTTTTTTCGCAGCATTTTCCGTCTTAATTTACAAGTTCAGCGCGAGGCTACCTGCATTTGCGGTGTTTTCTCTCAGGACATTCAAGTTCAGTCTGCGCACGCCAAGCAGCACTTGGTTCCTTCTCAGGGCGGCGAGGTGCCCCATGGGCAGTGAACAGGCAGGAAAGGAAGTAATCGGCAACGTAACACTTAAAGAGGCGAGGCTCTAATGCGTCTCTATCTGTTCGTTTGCTTCCGCTACTGGAGTTTGCCGTTCACTTTTTCTACTGCGAGCTCTGGACTGCTACAGCGTATAGCTGCTCGCTTCGTGTATGGATGGATGAGCTATGATTCAAGTGAACAACACAATTGCAGTGAGCACAGTTGTACAGTCAAATGGTAGAATCTGCTTCAGGGTGCATGTGCTTGTCATTTGTTGTCTAGTTTCTCCCAATCAGTCTTTGCTCTCTGCATGCAGATATATCACATTGCAAAGTGCAAAAGCATGGACTGGCCTTTAATTGGGTTTTCCCTCCAGGGAATTTGCCGCTCCTTGATTGGCTCTGCCAGAGCTATGGGCATTCGGGTGGGTTGCGGGGTTCAGCAAGGAAATTCGCCTCCTGTGGATGCGTGCGATTCAACTAAGCAACGCGATTGTGGTAAATGAAATATAAATAAACGAATTTAGCGTCACTTTGCAGTCTGTCGCAGAACCTGTCATTTGCAGGTAACTCCGGAGCTCCTACCCGCTTTTAGTAAGCGCGATTACACGCCAGTCGAAAATCTCGAACAAATGAGAAAGGATCTACGACAGAAACGCAAAGCGGCACGACGGGCGAATGCCAAGGCATAAACAAGTGCAAAACTCAGCGGCCGTTCGAAAGGAATGTGCAGAAACATATATACATGGAGGAGCCCAACAGAGTGGCGAAGAGACAGCCTTCAAAACAAAATGTGCCACGGGGCATTTTCTAGACCTTATGAGGAAGGATGTGGCGAATGATGATACCGTATATTGTGGGGTTGCTAGCCGTAGACTTATAGTGGAAAAATCAATGTGTGATGAATAACCTTGAGGTTAGTGACAAAACTTGCTCGCCGTTCAAGTCGTGGAGAGACCTGCTGGGGGGTGTCTCCAGGGCCAGTTTGATGTGACACTCATCGTCGACTTCTGGTCGAAATTGCGCAACAAAACGCAACAAGGTTGCAAGCGTTCGCAGTTACGTAGGCACTTGATTAAAGTATGCATACGAAATCTGGTCTACGGACAACCCTACCTACGGAGAGGAGTGGAGGCATTCGGCGGCAAACGAGCAGCTCCTGCTGCTCTCCCCACCGCTTGCTCCCATATAGCATCAGCTGTTTGACTTTACTATAATTATGAGAATTCAGCGCTTAACTACTTTGAAATGGCACTCGGGACTCGCTTCGTCTAAAGGTGACGCGGCATGCAGAAACGGTGCAAAGGCGCCCTAGCTGGGATTATCGTCCGCCGAAGTTCGCTTTGCAGTGCTATTTATCGCAAATAAAACCATGATAAATGAAATTAAAATATAAGTAGACCGGAGTAGATAGAGGCCGCCTGTGGAGAAAGCAAACGAACGGTGTCCTATGGCTTGAGTAGAATCGATCCCTGCCAACCAACCACGCTTTTGTTGGGGCTGCCACCTCTAGGTCTTGCGTTCTTTCTTCATATTGCTTAGTAAGTCATTCGGTTGTAATCAACTTCTCAACTCTGCATCCCAGGAGAGGAGAAAGCATCTCCTCGCTGTTTTCCTTGATACTGGGCAGTAGAGCAGAGCACATATATCAGAGAAAGCTGGAGGACATTCTACGCATTGTATCAGCGTAAACTTAAATTCCAAGCCTGCACAGCGTTCGGGTTTGGGAGCGGCAGCTCATTGTTTCTGTCCTTCACTGCACATAGTGCAGTGCAAACGTTGCCGAATTCCTTCTTCCATAGATTTGGATGAGGAGCTTTTTCTTAGATACGTAGTTTTCCTTTCACGTAGATGACGGCAATGGCGGCAGAATCGCGGAGGCTGGCGGTGTGCGCGCAGCTGGTCGCCTGCCTCATTTTATTCCCAACTCTAATAAAGACAGCCGTTGCAGCCGGCTGGGACCCGTGGACTCCAGAGCCATTAGCACCTGCGTCTCGTCCGGGAGTGGCAGCAGCTGTGCCTCAGAGAGCGAACGCCTGGGGTCCCCCCGATTCTGTCGAGACTGGGGACAAGGCGCATCCGCCAGCATTCCAGACGATGACTCCATCAGGAGATGCGAGCTTGTCGTATAATTTGTCTTCTGTTCCTCCAGCTGGTGTACCTCTGCTTGCAGCTGCGAATAAAAACCAGCACAAGACCCCTTTGGGCTCCTTGAGCAGCCAGCTGCTCACGCTGTCGGACTTGCCGGGGGAGACGGAGACGGAACAGATGGACATGCGGGTGGGAGTTGAGCAGGGGCCCTGGGCAACTCAAAAAAAGGCAAAAGGCAACTTGCTTCAAGTGTTTCTCAATTTTTTTCGGAAGCCCCACCTTTTTAAGATCATTGTCCTAGTGGCAGTCATGTTTGTCACCTTCTTCCTTGTTGGCATATTCGCAAGAATCGCGCAAGTCATTTTTGGGATCTTTTTGGCCTTAAAGGTTCTGCAGTTGTTCGAGGAGGACGAAGGAGACTTGTTAGGGGCCGCAAACGGAGACACTTTCCGTAAAGACCATGCTGCCCCCCAAACTGGACTACATCAGGCAGGTGCCCAGCTCCCATACGCCTATTCTGCTGGGAGTAGCATGGACTAAAGCAGGTGATCGCCGCAAATCATTACCATGTGTATCTGTGTAGGTAGTTGTAGAGTCGCAGGAGCTGTAAATCCTGTTCTTGCAGCTCTGCAAAGTGGCGGCACTACGTGCGGCAGCTAAGTGCATTTTCAGTTTATGAGCTATGCAAGCCGAGCAGTCAGCAGCTGTTGCATTGGCGGTAAATGCCGCTGCTGTTGGTGCGGCTGTGGTTGGGGAATCTCTAAATAGTAGCCTGCATGGCAGGATTACATGTTGTCCCTTTTCACAGCAATGGAGGTTGCATCATGTCTCAGAAACTGTCGAACCTCTTTTCACATTATTTCGGGCTGACCGGAATGTGTGGTTCTTATATAAATATATGGTTTCTTGGGTAAGCCTGTGACGTACAAACCTACGGTATCGATGCTGCCCATTATTACGTATCACCGTGGTGCCCTCTTCAGTCAGTTCTTTGCGTTTCCCCCCGCGCAGTACTGTACGTTGTAGAGAGCAACGAGCAACAGATGCGTGGATACACAAAGATACTTCCTGAATATGCCTCCTTTCGCCAACGTTGCACTGGCAGTAGGAGTAGCATCACGTGCGTGGCGCACTTAGTAGCTTGGCTCCTACCCAATTTTTCGTCCACTAGTACAGTGTACAGTACAGTGAACACCGCATGTGTATATTCGGCATCAGATGTGCCGGCTTGTGACTGGCGTCCTGGACTTAGTGGTCCAAGGGGGGACTTAGAAGCGAATATCTGCTTAAAGAAAACGGCTGCTAGTAGCAAACGGCCGCTAGTAATGTAACTTCAAGGCTCTGGAGGTTGCTTCGGCTTCTTTTAGAGGTGAGGTGGGGTGTGTGGCTGAAGGCTGAGAGCTCCTTCGAGTTCACACCTGGATCTTTAGACGAAGAAGCAACGTGAAATGGTACTGATTTGGGACTAACGAACAAAAAGGCGCGATTTTCACTGCATTATGAGAGAATCGCTTTGCCCTTGGTTGCATTGGCAAGGCTGGCGCCTCCCCAGAGGGGCTGCCACAGCTCGTGCTGATGGGTTTTGGGAGAACCTTGGAAAGCGTGTTCTCTTGGAAACAGCAAAATTTGTGCTTTGTATTTATTGTTGAAATTTCAGTGAATAAAGCAAAGTTATGTTTCCGTCCTGGCGGTTTGCCTGGGGTCTCACAGGAGCTGACCTAAACTGCTTCCTTCGTCTGCGTCAAGCGACGCCGTGAACTCCATCGTTTAGACAGAGTAGCATCGTTGTTAGGTCTTCACAAGCTCCTCATCAGGCTTTAGCTACCCAGCATTGTGCCTCGCTGGCTTGCGCCCTTGACGCAGGCAGTCCATAATGGGTATATTTATGGCGTAGCTTATTCATCACCAAAAATTCTGCTGCCGCCCATATGCATGCATACGTGAATGCATGCATGCGTGCATAAGTACGCAGAGCCCCGTTTTCATCGCTACTCGCTGACTAATGGCTGCCTTCATTCGGCCTATCTGCCGCCTGGCAGCGTCCCGTAAGGGCCTTCCCACTGACGGCCATCACCTAGCGCTGTTGTCGGTTCCATACGCCAGCCTCTGCCGTATCAATTCTCAGCCTACAACGACAAGCACAGCGCTGCTGCTGGTCAGTAAGTGCATGCAATCCGATTCACAAGGCCAGGAGGAGCCACAAAGCGCCAGCAGTGTCTGCCTGCGGTGGCTTAGCACTGCACCAAATGGAGCCACCGGCAGCAGTAGTGGCAGACAAGCAAAGGAAGTTGTGCGGGCGCCTGCCCTGGGCGAGTCTACAACTGATGGCACTGTCTTCAAGTGGTTACACGGCGTTGGGTCCGTGGTGACTCCAGAGGAGGTTCTGTGCGTTCTCGAGACTGGCACAAAATCCGTTAATGTGTCCACCAAAGTAGCAGGAAAAATTGTGAGTATCGCAGCAGGTGCAGGCAGCAGGGTTGTTGTGGGTAGTGAGCTTGCAGTGATAGAGCCTCTTTCCTCATCTGCTTTAGCAACCGAGGAAATAGCAGCAACAACAGCGGCAGCAACGCCACAGGCTGATACTGGGGCAGTGATGCCGCATGGGGCTGCTGCATTAGTGGCGGCGGGTGAGGGCTTCAGCCGGCGGACACCAAGCATTCTGTTTAGGAGTGTCAGGAACAGACTGGAACGCTTGGGACTCATTCCTCACCAGCAGCAGCAACAGCCACAGCAGCAGCAACAGCAGCAGCAGGCTTCAAAGCCTGAGTGCAGCAGCAACAGCAGCCAGCAACAGCAAAAAATTGCATCCCCAGACTCAGGGAGGGCGGCGCCGCAGCCAACCGTCATCCGGTGAGCTGGACCACGTGGACAATAACAGCGCTAGAGGCCAAGGCTGAAGTGTTAGGGTGTATAAGGCTTGCGTGTATGCGTAATATCTGTTCCTCGGTGCACAGATAGGTCAATGCATGCATATGTGGAAATTTAGATTCTTTTGTTTTGTACACCCACGGCTCAGTTCCTCACGAAAATATGACATGGAAAGCTTTGGCGCCTCCCTTATTCACGTATCTTTGCATGTGTAGAAATGTTCATAGTAAGGATCATATTGCCTAATGGATGCATGCATATCATGTGCGTTGTAGATACAGTGGTATCCACGACCTTCCCCCTTTCCTGCTACGTCCAGCTCTCAGTGCTGAGGAAATGGAAACCGTGAACGGAGGAGGGCCCGCAAATATTGATGATGCTGTTCGTTCTTGGACGATGTCTTTGGCATATCATCCTCAGCCACCAGCTATGAAGTGGCCCCACGGCAACAAGGGTTCTAAGAGACCGGAGGGGCCCTTCAAGCGCGCTTCTGCCTGAAGGATTAGGTTGGTGTGGGATGCAGAGATGGCATATGCTTGGTGAAGGATGCAGAGATGGCATCTGCTTGGTGAAGGCGTGGAGTGGCTTGGATTGGAGAGCTGAATGTTGCTAAACATTTGGCGACAGCCTGTTTTTGGAGCAAGACTGCAGCGAAAATCAACGAGGAAGATACAGGGCGAAACGAATAATGAGACAGATGCCTTTATGCGCGCTTCACGGATGCGTGCAGATATTTATACATGTGCATCTCTTATAGGTGCTCCGGCATGCGTATTCAAGCGTATACGCACAAAGACGTATTTGGAACGGCTAGTAGCGTTTCGGTGTTACACTGCTACGCTTCATTAAGAAGACACCGTTGACTGGCTCGTATTGTGGGCACAGAAACCGTTTGTGGGGCGCACAGATCGACTTGATATGGGTTAGGAAGATTTGCTTGTAAGCAAGGGCACTCACAAGCTTGGGGTGCCCAAAAAGCCAAACATCAGGCCTTCCGGGCCTTCAGAGACAAATATACGCATGAATGTGTGTGTTGTGCTCACTGCCGAGTTGGGCATAGGGCGGTTGCCTTCCTTGCTATTTTCAGGAGGCCTATGTACAGCATATATCCAACCTTTGCGCAGAGCTGGGTTGGGACTTGTCACAGGGCGGTGAAGTTACATGAACACCAGCATATCAATTGTGTATGGCGCTTGCGCTTCCCCTGCTTTACTGCGTGTAAGGGTCCTCGCAGCGTCTGCTCATCTTTGGATGCACGCACGGCCAAAGCCTAGTAGGCTGCAGCTTTGCTCGCTGTGACATTTCGTGGAACGGCACCCAGAGAGTCAGGGTGGTAGAGCCCTGAATGCTTTGGTGCTGCGAGCACAAGGATTTGATGCTGACTGCAGAGCAGCCGACTTACGAGCGTATGCCTGTGGCGCGCTACACGTTTGTTGTTCGTTCAGCACCGCAGCTGCTTAAGGGCACCCAGTTTGCTTCGTGGCTCCCTGGTGGCATAGCAAAGTGAGCACTTTATGAGCTAAATGGGTACGAAGAAGCGCTGAAGTACACTCATCTATGTTCGAAGCAGACGACGACACCAAAGTCTTGCTACCGGCAGTGGCCCTCCGTCTAACTCTCCAGCTGATATCTCCTGCGCGCGCCGCTCGCTTGCATCTTGAGGAATAGGAACACGCCTAGCGTGTTGAGGTGGAGTTAGCAAGCTAGGTTCAGTGTATGTACCACATAGTTTATGCGCCTGGCGGTAAAGTTAAATTGCCATCAGTGTGGGTCCAGAAGTGGTTCTGCACAGATTACGGCTTTGTACGCTTGTTTAATACGGGACAGTACCTCGGGGAGGAGCAATGCTCATTAGTGCATGCAGTCCAGTCCTCACATGTTCTGGTCAAGATAAATACTCATTTTTTGATGCACAAAGCTTTGTCAACTAGTTGGCTTCGGCGCTGGCCAGACGTTAATGCGTCAAATGGCATGGAGCCGAAAAGCGTGGGAACTGCATGCAACGGACCTGCATGCCTCTGGTAATAGGGCTAATGTTTTACTGCAGACCATTCATTGAGTACTCAGCAGATCCTGCAAAGACAGCTGCCAAGTCTACAGGATTGAGTGCATGTGCTTGCTCCTATTTCCAATCAATCCTCGGGTGGAGACAACTACGGACTCATATGGGCTCCACTTGACTTCGCTTTTACTTCTTCAGATTCACGTACACTCCCTGGGAGTTCGCGAGAGCCATAAAGTCAGAATGCGGCATTTCCTTCACATCGAATTTGGTGGCGTTGGAGGGGACAATGGCAAGGCATTCAAATGCATTTATGTTCACTTCTTGGCCCACTTCGACAGGGCTTAGCTGGGAATGCAAAACACAGGAAGAAAGGCAAACTGCATGAGTACTCATTTAATGAACAGCTACAGCACCCACAGCTGCAGTCACAGAATTGAATGCGCTTTACCAGCAGCAGCGAACAAAATAATGTGCTCAGTGATATATTCATTCTCACCTTGCCCTTATTGAACATAACCACCTTAACTTTAGGTGGAGGCTCCGCGACAGCCGCAGGTAGGAGTACTATGGTGCCGCCATGAGCTGACAGCTGCTTGAAGAAAGTTGCCCATCCCTCGTAGTATTTGATGCGATCCGCTGGGAACTCACTGGCCATGGACTTCTGCAGCAGCAACAAAAAAAGCAACGCTAAAAAGGGAAATGTACACGTGAACCAAGCAAATGCAGGACATGAGCAAACACACGGTCAGCCACTAAATGCGCGTGTGCCGCACACTAAGTACAGTCCACGTTTACTAAATCATGAGGCAACTTTGGTACACCAGCATGCTGTAGTGGGAGCTCGATGTGTATCTGCTCGTTTTCAACTTTCTTGTCCTGTGCTTCGTTTAGTTTGTACACTGATATTTCTTGTGTGTTCACCTCGCAGTCTGTTGCATAGATTTCGACGGCAGACTTCTTCTCGAATTTGTAGTCAGCAACTTCCTTCTCTGGGCAGAGGTAGGCCAATATGCCAGAGCCTGTAAGGGGCGTTTTGCTCCATTGGTTCTTCAGTCTGCCCCCCTCCGCGTCTGTATAGACGAGGTAGGCACCGAGACCGACAGAAAAGGTGGGATCAGCCACCGGAGGCGGTGGCCCAACACAGGCTTCCTTAGGAGGAGGAGGCAGCCCCGCCGCCTTTCCAGTGAAGAAGGCTGGGCTGCTCTTTGGGGCTTTCTTGCCTGCAGGTCGCACCTGTCTCCGGGGCTTGGGTTTTGGCTTCGCTGCTGCAGTCCTAGGCCCTGCAGCTGCGTTGGTTTGGTCCGCCTCAGAAGCAGCAGCAACTTCTCCTTCCCCCTCATCTTCTTCTTGATACTTTTCGGCTGCATCTCCGGCCTCTTCCGCCTCAGCTCCTTCAGTTGTTGCCTCCTCAGCTGCCTCAGTTTGGGCCTCTTCTCCTGTTACCACTGTCTCCTCTTCATCGACCCCCTTGAGGGACCCCGCTGGGCGGCAACAGCAGCAACAGCACGGAAAGCAGAAGTAGAAAAAGGGACAAGGCGAGCCCCTCTTGCAGCAGTTGTAGCAGCACCTGCAACAGCAGCAAACGTCCGCCAGGCAAGGACAGCACCACAAGGTGGTTGCTGTCGGCGCTTTGGGGTTTTCTTCCCTTAAAACTTCTTCTTTAGGCATTTTCGAAGGGAATGAAATACGAAAAACACAAGCAAAGTCGTATTTCAATAGCAGCAGCCCGGGCGGTCAACGTAGCGGTATCACCCGCAAGGCGAGCACCAGTAGGACACCCAATTCGGGCAAGAAAGAAAATGCCAACGACTCTTTGGTGCAGAAAAAAGCAAAACAAAAGAGGAGTCGCAAAGCAACATTATAGCCAGCGGCCAGAAACAATGTTTTGTGTGGGGCCAAGCTAGCGGCGGCCCACGGTCATTCGTCGATGCGCGTAAACACTGAAAGTGCAGTCACAAGCTGATTTGCAATTTTCCTAAATTCTACTGCAAACAATTCACACCAAACAATGTTCCTGAATGAAAACTGATAGAAATGAACTCCAAAACACTTGAAACATCCAGATATATGGCCTCAAGCGCCCTCCAACCAAACCACAGCAACGCCATTGGACTCTGACACACAATCACATGAGCTCCAGAGTCTCCGTCCACTTCATCTCACCAAAAAGAAATAATCGTCCCTACTTATGTATTTACGAGCTGTTTGAGAGTCCGACAACAACGTGCCGCGATGCAGAATGCATCGCGGTTGGCCAGTGGCAAACTTGGGAGAACGGCGAGGTTACGAATTCGAAACGGAAGATTCCGCACTTTTCAGAGTACACCCGTACTCACCGAAACTCCATTACATCCGTTGCTAATAAATAACTAATGGGCTACACTTGGTTAAGACGTTGCTACTCCACCACACTTCCTGTTCACGCTTCCACGCCGACTCGAAGCATAGCCCGCATGAAGAGACATTGTGCAGGCAAAAACTAAACTAGTGTCTCAAGCTCCATAGTCTAGATCGCAAAGTGCCGCATAGTGCTTCGAAGTACTGGCTAAAATAAGTTCCCTCACAACTTTCGCAGTGTCCTGTTGCGCAGCGAATGGCTTGTAAGTAAGTGCCAGCAAAATGGAAAAGGATATATCTATGAGCATGCAGCCCCGCAATGACGGAGCTAGATCGAAGTAATGGGCTTCTTAGAGCTGGGGGAAACTTCAAAGGTAACGCTGCCATAGGGGGAACTTAGGAGAGGAGCCGCCTTGTCAGCTCGACATTCCTCAGTACATGTGACCATTGGTCATCTCTTTGGTGCGAAACCTTGCGGACCAGCTGAAGGAATAGCAGCGGGCCACAAAATCACCACACAAGACTGTTACACGTTCTTGAAGTCTAACGCCCAGCGAATGGGTCAGACCAGTACGCGTGCTTTTGCCAATCATTGCTCCCAGATCTTATCCATGAATTACATGAAATCAGCTTACACCAATCCCCTGCCAGATTATCTCTAAAGACGGCATGGTACATATGCTAGCTTACAATCTGCACTGTCTTGGCCTCCCTATAAATCTCGCACTTAGCGACCAATTCAAACCGAAACTCCTGAGTTAAGCCACAGCAAATCAACTCGGTCATCTTATTTCCTTGTACCTAATTAGCGGATGCCTGCTTTGCATCCTGGGAGAAGGGCAATCTCTGCTTTCTTGCTTGTTGTGTGCACTACGCATGAACTTCATGCTTCTGTTCTCATTTCACTTCGGCTGTCTCGACACTGTCGTTCTACATACTCTTGCTCCGCTTTACAGCTTAGCCCCCCCTTCGACCCTGAATAACCCACAGAGAATGCCAGCTGGCGCAGTATGTCGACGAACTTTCGGCCTCGCGTGTCTTGGCCGCCTGCCTCCAGTTTGCACAACCCTTCGGCTGTCACGTCGGCTACATTCATGATTTCCTAACAACATCAAAACCACAGAAGCTGCGCAGCAGCACAAATTAGTGGAAAACAAGGTCGTGAGTGCGCATGCAATTGCTATCGCAAGCAAACGCAGAAGCGTCGTGACAGTCAAAGGGCTGTGCAACCTGGAGGTAGGCGGCCAAAAGGTACACATAGAAGAGCGTTCGCCATGCTACGCCAGCTAGCATTCTCTCCGTGTGTTATTCTCAGCAGCCTCGATGACCCTTTGCAACAAAAGGGAGGCAACGAAGTCCATAGCAGAGAAAGAGGCACCAGCATAGGCAATAACTGGAAAAAATAATAATAGCAGTGCTGCAGGTTCACCTGTCCTTGGTCGCCAAGAGCTACGCAGTTGAGAGTACCAAAGGCATCAATCAATTTCAGATTTAGCATCCACCTGCATATGGTCATCAACAGCGCAAACTTATGCGCTGATCGAAGGAAAGAAAACAAAATACATCAAACACTGCCTTCTGAAGGGCTCTTGCAGCTGCTATCTTAGCACGCCTGCTAATGCTGCGGTCGTCCCATCTTTACAGCTGCTTTCACTTTCATGCATGTTTCCTTGCATTCACGCCCAAATGCGCCTTAGCGCTGAAGTCTGGTTCTCCTTCACTTGCAAACAAGGCCAAGCCATTAGCAGCCTGGACACGAGCAGATACTGCAGCCGAACGAAGCACCAGATGAGAAACAATACAAGGAACCAAAGTCATGCAAAACCTTACCGAGGCTGGGGTATGACTGCCTTGCGACAGTTGGTGCACTTGTAGGTCGCTGCGACGGTAGCGGTAGGTAGCTCCTTTTGAACCTTTCGTTTGCACTCAGGGCAAGCACTAAAAAGAGCACGAAAAACAAGAAGACAGGCAACCACATATACAAACTTAAATCCTCACGTGCACAGCACACAAGGGATTCCATTCGTACAATACATTTACTGACTAATCTTGGGTCAGGCCTGTGCTGCTTCGGTAAGACCAGCATCAGCCGCCAGAATTCACCCATTATTTGCTTCGTTTGGTGATAATGCGCTGGGGGAAGCAACAATAAACCTTGAGAGCTAAACCGTGAATCGTGGAGACTCAGTCCCTTAAACGTCACCCCTAAACTTGAGCTCTACAAAATTCAGAATGTACACCCACAACCAAATGAGTTTCCCTCCCCTCAGGTCGAAGACACTCGCAGACGTGACGAACGTTTTTGATGTCCCCAAATCTTCCGTTTCTAATTCTTTTGCAGCATTTCCAATTTCCAGAAGAGTCTGTCCAGAGACAGGTAGCTACGCAAAATGCTCATGCATGGGAACACTTGTCTATCCTAACGTAGATTGACATATATCCTCGGAAACTGTATACGCATGTTACTGTGGTTGTATGCATGCATTTATTATTACACATTATGCATGCTACAAATCCATATATGCATCGGCTCAAACATGTGTGGACCTGTACGCAGTTGTAAGCACTTGAGCGTACACAAACACACACGCACTCCTTGCCGGCAAGCCATGCCAAATCGTGCCACCCTCACTGCCTAAGCTGAGATGCTAATCACCTGCGGGCCAAGGGCTCTATTGCATTTACTAAGGTGGTGCAACGCAGCAATCTTCCCACTTGTGCGCCACCACTGCCGTTCTCCTTCCAGTGCCTCCCTTTGAACCCCAGAGGCAGCTGCGAGCTCTCCGTCTGCAAAGTCTTCGCCCACTTTAGCTGGCTGCGTGTGAAACCAAGTCATATTCATCTGTGAAGACGACGCCAGGCAATACTGCCCTGCGTATTCGCTCACCTTCGCTCCTGCGATGAGAACAACGGTAGGCCCCCAATCACACACATTGTCCATCCACTTAGCGATGCAGCTTGCTTATCGGCATCGGAAAAACGAACGCATGCACTACAGACTGCTTAACTCCCACGTTCTTACCCTTGATTGCTGCTAGCGGTGTGTTCGTCAGGGCGACCTGTGAGAGCTGCAAGGCTTGCGGACCAAAAAGCGAAAGGGATACGAAAACTCCAGATGAGTCCACTAGGGTCAAGTCCCGTCTGACGAGTTCTTGGTTCTTTACCTTTTCAAACACACAGAAAGGTGCAAGTTATACATGCATCAAGTTGGGTGCAAGCTAGGGGCAAAAGCCTGATTGCCCACTCTGAGACTTCAAACCGCTCCCCTTTACATGCTATGTATCATACAGGTAATCTGCTTAACACACCCTGGAAAGGATGGTTTGGGGCTCCTTGGCCTCTACAACAAAGACAAGTACGTCCACGACGGTTCCTGCAGATTGATTCGACAGGTCTGCTAGTAGAACTCGGTCAAATCTGCGTCACGGGGAGACACGCAGTAAGAACAGTGGTACAGAAGTCCAATGTGGCGGACAAAAAGCAGTAAACGCACACAAGACAAACCAGGGGGGAAATATGAGGCGAGGATGTTCAGAAATGAATGAGCTTTAATACACAGCAGCTTCAGGAATTGAACATATTCGCGAAATTGCCCCCATGCGTGGAAAAATCAGGCCGAAATCGAATTGTCCTTTCCCCGAAAATAAACAGCTCACACCTGCAATTAAACAGGGAAAGCCGCTTACTTTTGAAATGGAATAGAAAGATCGTCATCTGCTTCTTCTATCACCGCAGAGGAATCAAATTTGATTTGTACCTCATGGGTTAAGGAAGTATGCAGTCTGCACGGGCAGCAATTCACATAGATCACTAAATTCTGAACCCTAGACACGCAAACAAAAGCGTCCAAGCAGCACAGAAACAGTAAGTGATGGGCTGTGGGACACGACCATAGAGTTCAAAGGCAGCCACCTGCTGGCCCGCTGCAGAGATCCTCCGCTAAAGGTGTAGACACGGCCCCTGTGCAGTCGTGGGTACCACGTCACCGCAGCACGGCCAAAAAACGTCGCTCGGATTTCCGTGGCCTGAAAAAAGAAGCGCTCAAGAAGCTTTTCATCACTACACTAGTGAGCCAATAGCTGGCTGCCCAAAGAGCTAACGCGAGTGTAGGCGTGACGCGAAAATAAATACTTTTTGTGGCAAGCTTGGAAGTCACATAACACGGGAAAAGAAGGGTATGTTCAGACCTGTGCGTCTATGAGGTGCACTGTGAAGAGACTGCTTTCCCCCTTGGCGTTTGCGAAACCCTTAACGTCACTCCTATACAGCGAACAGAACGCATCCCCAAAGCCCGTTTTATTAGTAAACACCAACACGCTTCTCGGGGAGTA